TGTTGTATCTATCATTTTTCATTAACAAAACCATGAACTCTTTGAACAAGTTAAAATAAATGGAAAGGATCAAAAGTTGTGTTTTTAACATACAAAATTCTAAATTAATGTCACCAGTGTCCTCTTTGAAATTTACTGATCAACCTAAGTCCTTTAACATACTTAGGATATTTATTTAAACCAGATCCAAAAAAGAGTTCTCTAATTAAGTCAAATATTTACATTTTAAAAATAAAAAATAAATGTCATGCCAAGTTTGAATATTCTCAAACCATATCAAAACAACAACATAGCAAACTCAGCATCACCTTGTTATGGTTAGTGTTATCTGGAAAACATTTTGAAATTGTTGTTGGCAACCAAAATGTTTCAATGGGTGAATTTCTAGAGATTGCATCAATATGATTTTGTTTCAAAAATTTCCACCCTGGCAGGTATTTTATTTCAATGCAAATGGAAAACAATATGCCTTCTGATTTCTATGATATTGAGCAAAATGGCTCACTAATCTGATGATACTAGCCTGTGTCACGGTTATCATTAAAATCTTGACCACTTTTTTTAAAGACACTATATCTTGAAGATTCAGGCCAATAAATGAAATCATGAAATCAAATCAAATGCCAATATTGCAATAAGGAGCCAAGGACACAATAAATAACTTTCTAGCCATCATTATACTAAAGCAGTGTAACAATAGAGTGCTTTCTCTTATTATTTGCTCCACTGAAATACAGGGAATGTGTCACATGACTTTGGGTAAATCAATGACAGATAATGTCTATAAATAGAATAAATTGGGTTTTAACAAATTGAGCATATCAGTAAAACATTAATCACTGGGAGTGGCCTCCTTGAGAAAGAAAATCAAACAGACATACCGAATACTCCATCATTTCAGGAGTCTCTGGAGTGTTTGTGTTTCCAACCTTACTGTTTTTCATTTCAACTTCTCTTGCTGACATGTTAAAAGTCTTCTCTGTAGTGAGACAGAAAAAGCATAAATTAAGTTGCAAACAAATATATGAACATTTCAGGTTCTTTAGGGAATAACTGGAGATTTTTTTTGTAGTGTGTAGTTTGTAATGGGAGTAGTATAAACATCCTTTTAAATTGATACAAATGACAAAATGAGTAGAGTAAAAAAGGAATATCAATTTTGGAGCTACCGTAAAGACTAACCCACCAACACGTGTTGAGTTTAAAAATTCAACCCAGGGCGTTAATGCAGTTTCGCACCTCTTGGACACTGATCCTCACCCAAACCCTATCCTTATGTATCCAGAAGCTGAGAGAGCAAACGACGTCCACACATACAAACCTTTGCTTAAACGGAACCCAACACCTAACTTTTCAGTCCTTGGTTCAGCCTTACTCGAGTCACTGGCACGAGGTTGTAACTTATCCTCTATTTTTTGGTGGATGAAAAAGCTATGGCTTTTTCTATAGGATGTAACTGCTTTTGTTGGATAGATTACGATTAAAGATACAATACTATCATAAAATATTGTTTGGCGTTGTTTGGTAGTCCAAAAAAACACGCCTTCAGGTAAATCGCTTACATTAGTTAAAGCCAACACAATATTAAGAACGATTAAGTACATTGGGCATTGATGATAGCAGCTTCTCTTTAGGCCGGGGAGAAGGGGATATCTTTTCTTGGAAGGCGCACGGTTAGGGCACTGGGTGTTATCAAAAAAAAGCAGGGAGAATAAATGAAACTTAAAAGTTAATACTGCAATGTTAATTTCTAAGGCCCAATTTTATGCAGAAAGAGTCGTGCTGTAAGAAATAAGAAATAATGCTTGCAAGTTAAACTGTGGGAGAGAAAGTGAGTCTGCAGTAGCTTCAAACAGGCCACCTTACAGCTTCGAGATTTCCTGTCATAGAGGAAATGAAGGGGAAAGCATCTCACCTGTGCATTTAACGTCCTTGTTACAGAGATAAAGTCAGCTGGAAAGAGCGGTGCCTATCATTAATTCATGTTCTTGGATCGAGTTACAAGTGTACTTTGATACAGCCTAACCAGATGGCCTTCCTCCAGTTTGTTTTGAAACAGGATGGTAATTCTCAAGTCGACGCTGCGAACATGGCTAGGTGCCATCGCAGTGGCACCTAGCCACCCCCCTGGGAGGATTTGGGGAGACAAAGTATTCTTGCATTCACCAAAGCCAAATTTCAAAGATTTATCTTGATTTAATAGCCAAATTTCAAAGATTTATCCCTTGGGGCTTTTGCTCAGATACCCTTTCACGACGCCCCTTAGAAAGAAGTTTCAGCCTCAGTGGCGGAAATTGCTGGGGTGTGGGGGTAACTGCCCCCAAGTTTTGCCAAATTGTCGGTTTTGTCGGTAAAATTATGTCATTTGTCGGCAAATTTGCTTGCTTTTGTGGGCATTGCCCCCCCCCCACTTGAAAAATCTGAATAAAAATCTTTCATCCATGTATTTGCATATTATCTTGATGTCACCATAGTGATGTCACGTTGTACATATTTTTGCTTTGCATATTTATTGTAAGTAGAGGTGGCCAAAGTTAAGCGGCAAGTACACAACGTGCATTATACTCGACAAATGTTCAGATTTAATACAACATACCAAAGAAATGAATATAAATCGAAAATATAATGTACATGACTGAAAGGAATTATTGAATTTTCAGTCCCTCTCTCTTTCAAAGCAATTTTCAGTCTCTATCTCTTTCAAATTAAATTTTTAGTCTCTGTTTACTTCAAAGCGAATTTTCAGTCTCTATCTGAGAGGGCTTTGGAGGGAGGGGGGGGTATCAAATACCATGATTCTGCAAGATTTTTTTGATTTTACCTTAATACCGAGCTTTCAAATTGAAAATTACCGAACAAAAACAGTTTGAGTTTTACCTAACTTCGTTTAAGTTTCGAGTAATTTCTTGGGAAGTCTTCAAAATTCAAGCATGTAACATATGCTTATATATCACCGAAAGTTTATAATATATCCAAAACTCGTCCGCCTACAAAATATGACGCTTGTGCAGGACCCTTTTTCGTCAATCTTTCTAACAAACATAATCAGCTGGATTTTGTTAAGATTGGACAGAAGAAAGTTTGAGCATTTCTCTCAGAGAAAAAAGCGCTTTCTCTGTTCTGTTCAAGTCGTTGATACTCTTTGTAGAAGAAGAGATCCTGCTTACCTGGCAGCTTTCTCGACCAAACGAGAACTCGTTTGATAAAAATTATTAATAGGAGAAGGAGAGGTCCAAGAAAAGATCCCTGTGGAACACCAAAATGTAATTCTTCCATTCTTGACCTAACACCATTGGTTGAAGCAAACTTTCGGCTCCAGGAAATAAAGAAGGAACTAAAACTACCCAAATTTATTTCCATTTTTAAACTAAAAAATAAATTTTTAGTTCCTTTTTTATGCTTTTAAAACCCAATAGCAGAAAGTCAAAAAATGCTGCTCTGCTATGCTGATGGCTTTATATAAAACAGAAGCAGTTAGCAGCAGCACCAGCATGAATAACAAAAGGGGCTAGGGCTTAGATCCAAGCAAATCCTATAGAACTAAGTTCTAAGCAGGGCATTCCTTCACATACATATATAAGTAAGACACTACAACCTTTCTGTATTACGAAAGCCCAACACGGATGTATTTTGATAATATTGTACTGTTTTCCATGATAATATTGTAAAAATGTGACCTATTCTTACACAGTAGGTATGTCAAATTAATATGCCATTGACCAAAATAGGGAACCCCTCCTACTTGTCCCCACCTGAAATCGAGTTTACTTTTTATAAATGACATGATGTAAATGACATATGGGCAAAACGATAAATGGTTCGCTGTTTCCAGCGAATCTGCTTTTTAGATTGTAAGAAAAATGAAGAGGAAAAAAGTGATTATGAAAAATCTAAAATTAAATCATACACATTTGCAGTTGCAACTTGAGTTTTTTTCAACCAGTGGTAACACAATTTAAAATGGAGAGAATGAAGAAATTTAAGATTTATCAGGATTCAGCCTTTATGGAGATTGCCGAATTACCGAGAGAGAGAGAGAGGCAAATACCGTAATACCGTCAACCCCAAAGACCCCCTATATCTTTTTGAAGGCGAATTTTTTAGTCTTATTATACTTCAAATCATGTTTCCAAGGTTTATCTCTTCAAAAATTAAGCAAGACAAAATTGAATGGTAACCCCAGAATAACTTAATTTCCAATTCACATTTTCTGGGTAGTAGTACGCTGGTACGACAGTCTCCTTCGCAGTAGTTGTTGATAGAAATTGAGAATCACATAGCAGTTTGTACTTTTGCCAGCAACGCCTATATGTAGGTTGTTCTACCTAGTGGCTGAAGGCAAAATATCTGGCTGTAAAAATATAACACGCAATTTACTTTTTTCAAAATAGGACACATTTTACCTCTGCCCCGTGGCCCTCCGGCTCCGGCGGCCCCTAGCGGAATGGAATCATGTGTGACGTTATTAACTCGTTATAAATTTTATGGGTTTTCAAGCCTAGATATCGGTGGCTGATATTAGAACAGTGGCACGTTTCTAGCTTAACATGCGAAAGGTCGTGGGTTCGAGTCCACGCCCCAACCACTAGATGTGTATCTCCTTGGGAACGTAATGTCGCGACGTCGTTTCCAAACCATCCCTAAATCCCAAACATGCAGTCACAGCAGGTAAATAAGGCCCACGAAACACAGAGTTGCAATATACAGGGAAAAATCAACAATGGCAGCAAAAGGTTAGTAAACATGTGCAACCACTCTAGCACAGATGTAGACCAGTCGAATGCATGGCAGCTGTTGCAAATAGGCAATATAAAAAGCAACATTGTTCCCTAAATTATGTAAAAGCAAGCTGGAACAAGCAGATAATCAGCCAGTCATCACAGCAACGTGACGAGGAAATGTGTTGCAAATGTTGAAGTAATAGAATATAAACTAGTCGGCTTTCAGAAAACTGAAATAAGCTGTTAAAAAGACAGTTGAGACAGAAATATGGCGAAATATTTGCATTCTGTGAAACAGATTCTATGAAAAAAAATTCCTGCAAATCTTTGATCTTATGATACTAATTGGCAATGATATCAAAGACCGAACTCGTGAAATTTAAAGCTACCTTTGAAATTTAAAACTTTCTTAGAACTCTTTGGTCCGATATACAAATATTTAGGAATACCCTCTTCATGGTTATCTATCTTCAGAATTCATAAATTCGATTTCTAGAGCTGAGCATTTAGCCAATTCAGTTCTCTTCGACTGCTTAAAACCTTTTAATCAACTTTCATCAATGGTATATGGGCCTCACACTTAATTTGAACAATGGTGGACTTTCCAAAGCAGCCCTCGCTTGAAAGGAGCTCCAGAGGTGGCTGCAACTGCACTTGCAAAATTGTGTTATTTCATGATGGAGTTACCTTGAATATCAGAAGCTTAAGACAGATCCGTAGCAAAATGAACTGCTGAAAGGCTCTTGGAAGAATGCGTGGTTTGAAGCCTCCGTGGAAAAAAGGGGCTGGATAAGGAATTTGCCCGCGGGACACTACGCGCAAAGTTTGTTTTGATATTTGGTTATAGATCAATCTTGCTAATGGAGACCATAATAAGGAACGTTGTCTTCAGTAATGATTTGGCAATCTGTAACATTAACATATGCATAGCCTTTGATAGGCCCTGTTAGAGCATCTAATCTCCTAGGTTTCTTAAGTTTCACGTTCGAATATGGAAGTTTACGTCAAAACGAGCTCGTAGCTCTTAAGATCTGCTTGTCAGGTTAACCAACACAGATACACGCATTAATTCAACATGTTCGAAACGAAATGACAAGTCGATATTCACGCAGAATAACACTGTGAAATATACTGAATAAGAAATCTTCATCTTGCAGGAACTTTGAAGTCTAATTGGAAGATTTGAACTAAGTTTCGCTAATTTTAGTGACCTCATTTGAGCTTCTTCAGGAACTCATCTTCATCATCATAAACCTCGACCGCACATTGCCTGGGAAACCAACCTTTTTCCCGCTCTGGTATTGCACCATTTGAAGCTAAACGGGGAAAAAAGTGGCAAATTTTTGTCAAATAAAGAAATCCAGAATCGATTTGAAGCTTGTAATCTTAAAATAAAAAAATATTCTGGGCTTACCAATGCGAGCTTCAGCAGAGTTTGGGTCTTTAAAGTCATGCCCAGCCCAATCTCAATGATCAGCCCAAGTCTTCTTCTAACAAATTTCAAGATTCATCTTGCCATAAATTCTTCCAGTTTGAGAAGTACTTAGCAGCTCATTGCATCACAAAAATTAAATGATATAAATTAAACTTGATAGATGATATCTAAATAGAAATTACCATTAAAACTTCTTTTTGTTGTAACTTTTTCGCCAAAGAGCCAATGTCTGCAAATGTAATCAAATTGAATAATTTAATTCATCAATTTTGGCTGTTTGAGAAAAAGAGTTAAAAACATTATCAAAATATGCAATGCACACGATAAACACAAAATTACACGATAAACTAAATATCCTTTTATGTTTGACGTTTTAAGTGACAGTTTGTCAAACTTTTCTTCCTGTAAAGGTGAACAAGAGGCCAAACAACTTGAAATATTATAATCGAAAAAGAAAAGGTGCAAAAGATTACAAAGCATTGCAAATCGCAAAAAAATTCATTTTGATGCCCTGTTAAGAATTATTATCATATTCAGTAAATCTTCCAGTGGGTAGCTTTTATATGACGTGGAAAGCTAAAAAATTACGCAGAAATACATTTATAAGTATATTACTTGCATTCCATTACTCTGTAAAAAATTGGATCTATCAACAGAATTGATTACACAGTTAGGTTGTGTATGATAAAATCTGGCAGGAAAAGGTCAAACAAGCGAATCCAGATAGGGTAATTTGACTAACATCGTGTTATACATGTCAAGGAGTTTTTAGACTGTGATAACCAATCACAGGTCGCTTATAGTAAGGAAACGCTCTCCTGCTAATATGACATCCAGGAAAACATGATGCCTATCTGCGTGCGCTATGTCCGTCTACAGTGCAAAATGCAAATGACTTTTCTGGAGAACCAAACAGTCGCTACGCGATAATGTTAGTACTTACGAAGAACGAGGTTTTATTAACCTGAATATGGATGATAATGAAAAAAGTTTTGTTAAGCAAAGACTTACCTACGCCATCTAGTGACGTAAACAGCATCCTTCTCTTCGACTCCCATCCTCGGCGCATCTGACCATGGCATATCATAGCAAGTCCGAAGACCGTGCTTGCATGGAAACCAAGTGCCACTATAATTGCCAATTATCTTATGTAATACCTAGGAAAAACCAGCATTATAATAGAAACAAGCAACTTTCAAAGAAAATATCAAAGACAATGAAATGGCTACATTTTCCAAGACCAAACTTTATGTAAATTCTTTAAAGTAGAACATTTCTAAGCTGACAAAATACCCCATTTCATGATATATTGACACCATCAGCAATAATGATATAGAAATTAGTTTTCGATAACTAGGAGAACTGGTTTAATTAACAGAATAAAAGAGGAAATTGTTTGAAGAAACATAAGGTATTTAAAATGAATAAAAAACCCTCACCATTCTATCCCTTTTGAGGGCCTTCTGCTCTAACTGCTCTATCTAGAAAAGAACAGTTTCCAATAATCTTAGCTGAAATTCAGAAAACGCACTCGGAAAAGAAAACTGCTTTGAGTATTAATATGGGTTAGCGCCTTCCCTAAAGGGGCGTATGCTCTAGGTAATATTCCTTTGAGGTATATTCGCCAATATGAATATTTTTGATGCGAAGATATTCGTTATCTTTGATCCGATATTAAGTTGATTCTGTTATAAAACCAGCCATAGTGGACCGTAGTTAAAAGACTTTTTTTATATCACAAATAAAAACAACTCAAAATTAACTACATATAAATATTCTGTGTCTGCCGTAGCCGGAAAAGACACGACGTCATCGAGCTCTAACTACGACAGCACTTACATTAATATTAACATTCATCTAAATGACAAAAAGATAAACAACAACTTAACCGAGTGTCTTAGAAGGAATACATCCCCCATCCACATTAATGTTGTTAATCCAGACAAAGCTATTAGTGGAGCAAGGAAGTGGTTCCTTACAAGACTCCCGGTACAAACATTACAGGGAAAAAGGAAAATAAAAGAAAATGCTGCTGCTGCTTTGCGATTGAATTCAACCTGAAAATATTTTCGTATTTTTGATAAACAATATTGTTAAGACTTAAATCAGCTCTGGCATTTTTAACCATTAACTGTATCTCAAGTAAAAACCCAGTCAGCACCGGGGTTAATTCCATAGTTAGCACACAATATCTCGTGCTGCTTCACACCAGCCTGACTTGAAGTCATACCATGAGTTAATTGTCGATCTAACTCGTACTTATCTCAAGTTGATTCATATTGGGAACCAAGCTTTAATAAGGAGAATGAGACTCACGGTTAAATCATATTGCTTGCAGCCTTCTTTGATCGGCCAATTAATGCCATCACCAGCATAATCACCAGACCAATTAATAACCTTCGATAAAAAGTTGAATAAAACTGTTACTGAAAAAGATATATTTGAGTTCATTTTAAAAAACGTAACGAGGAAGGTTGGTAGATGTAGAAATGGATGAAAGGGGAAACTGTTATATACGTAAAGGATTTATTTAATGTTAGTTGTTACAAAAGTGGAAAAAACACTAATCCAGACTAACATGAAGCAGTTTCAAGTATTGCATAAGGCAGTTTATTTACTCCAATTTAACACGTGCATTTTTTTCATGGAACCAAGTTTTAATCAGTTGATGCAAAAACTTAACAAGAAAAAAATTACTGAAACTGAAATGAGAAAAACGAGTCCAATGCCCAGAATAAAAGTGCGACGATTTGCGTTGGTTATTAATACAGAATTTACGCTTCTGTGTCTTTGTCCTTAAAAGAAAACCAGATAAAAAAGGAATATTGAAGTACTAAGAGTATTTTCATGACATGCAAGCCCTCGACTAGGACCGGAAGTGCTGTCAATCTGAAGACGATTAAAACTGAAGCGGCCTAAATGTAGTTGTTTTTCGCTAGGCATATTTTGTCCAGCACGGTTCAGGTGAGAAGAGACCAATTGGCTAAAAATAAGCCAATCAGGCGCGTCTCTTTTCTTATTGGCTAATTTTCATCCGCATCATGGCATGGACCTTGAGCACATTATTAGAAGCTATCCGACTTTTTTGCTTATAATCATAAGATGCAATGATATAGCTAAGTTATAGGAAACAAAAGCTCTAGGAAAGTAAACACAATGAATCTGTCTTTCCTTGTGCAACAAAGAAAACATAATTCGCCAAGAAACCGCTAAGTCTGCAAAACATCCGCTAATTACCACTGTTTTGACAAAAGTGGTAAGGCTTTCATATGAAGCAAGACACTGTTTAATCATCCGAGAAAGGTTTTGTCAGACAGTGTAGACTGGTGTCGTATTTTTTACAATAATGGGATAGTTAGAAACTCAGTTATTGAACACCAAATAGGGTGTAAGCAATCAATTATTCTGATGTTTAGAAAACTAAATCTCGCGGAAGAAAGACTTAGGTGTAATGAGAAAAATGGGTGGGATCTTCGAGTAAGCAATTAGTTTGAAAACGAATGAACATGGGAGAATTTTTAAAAAACTAATCACCACTTCATGTAAATTTAAACGAAGTTGCAGCTGCTTCGGAAATGAATAGGAATATATACATTGCTAGCGAAGCAGAGATAGGTATATTTTTCAAGGTTTGATTACGACCATTCTCGTAAAAGAGGATACACCAGAACAAAATGGGGTTAGGCAATTATCAACAACAGACAGATCAATGTAGAACATTGCTAGTGGTTCTGTCGATAGCATCTCGAATTATCACTGATAAAGCCCTATGGAGTTTATGATTTTCTGGCTTCTTTGTCTATCAGTGATGGGTTTAAGGATGAAACTAAAACCTTACGTTGCACTGGAAAATCGACAGTCATCAAGAACAATCGCTTTAGATTTACTTTTTTTCCAGAAAAGGCTTTTTGAAGCTAATTGTATCATTACTGCATATTAAATTTGTCCATAAGTCTCCATAATACCCCCTTCTTGGTATATACCAACTGCTAGGATCTAACAAAAATGCTATATAACCATTTCCGTAATGCTTTCGCTGTCAACTCTTGGCTCGTTACGCCAATTTTGATGCCGTAGCTCGTAACAGCTATACACATGGACAGATAATAAGGAGATAACCCTCTTAAAGATCGCCTCGTAAAACGTTACACACCAGCAGAAATCCTGACTGGCCATTTGGCCATCTAATTCAAATGTATTTGGAATGAGAATGAGGAAACACACCTGTTTTATATTGTTCCAGGTGCCTAAATCATACGGGTAAATGAACACAGAGCCATCAGGACGCTCTCGATCGGCCTAAAAGCAAAAATTAACAAAATGAAAATAATTAAGAAGTTCTTAATATTACAGTTAGAGATTATTTTTCAACAAAAACCGTTACATCCTCTTTTTCTGTTCACTATATCTATAAATTGTGATATATGTGTCATTTACTTGGTAATTACTCTTCGGGCAAAGATTTTGTAAAATGCCTATAAGCATATTAATAGCGTCTTGAACTTATGTCTGGCACACCAGTCCAGGACAAAACGCATCGTTCGTCCATAATCTTGTCTGACTGTTGGATGACTTAAACATTAATTTTTTAGCAAAGTCAAAGTATATAGTTAAAGTTTGAAATCAAAGTAATAGCGATAGACGTTTGCGAAACTATAAATTAGACCATGTGACCTACGCTCTATAATGGGATACTAGACAAAACATCTTGAAGAAAGCATGAATACTGAACCTTTGTCACAATCCAGTCTTCAATTCCAGTTTGGTTGGTTAGAATTGTCCTTATCTACAAAAAACATTGAATATTCAGAAATCTTCAAAAACTTCAGGAAGGAATTATTCCATTGCTCGAGAGAAACTAAGTTTCGGTTAAAGAAAACACAGAGAAATTGACGTAAAATTCAAGAACAGCAAATTTTCTATGCTTCAAATTGCAACGAAGCCAAAATATTATTCGATATCTGAAATGATTCAGGTACGGAGAAAAATTATACACGAGAAAAGCAATAAGTTTTAAGGCTTCCCAAAGATCTATGCAAGCAACATTTGCACCATGCTCAAAAGCACAACATTTTTGATAGATGTTTGTAGGATATTTCTCCTCCTGTTTGTTGAATAAAAACAGAAATAAAAATTTGAAAAAGTTCATCGCTCACAAGACGCATATCTTGCATGTAAATTTGCTTAGTTAAATATGCATGTAAATTTGGCTATCAGCTAAGTGATATAAGCTCATCGTAGGATGAGAGAATCTGAGGGATGAAGGTCACTAAATAAGATTATAAATGATTGCTTACCTGGTAGTAAAGAAGCAAAGAAACAGCCACAGCAACTCCACTAGATAAGCCGATTGCAAGGCAAAATACTATAAAGTATTCGACTCCAAATGAAATCAAATCATATTCGTCAATTTTAATGATCAAGAATCCCTCATCCTGGAAAAGAACTGATTCAATCATTTCTATATTTGAAATGTACAGAGAAGGCTGTGTTTAAGGCAGCCCGTTTGAAAATATTTAATATGAAAACTCAAAGAAAAAACTAAACAGCACTAATAAAGTATATTAAAATATATTTTGAAGGCAAGTTTTCTAAAAAGAGACAAAGCCTCATTTTTTCTAAAAACATAATAACACAAGCATTTAAAAGACTGGCTAAACTTCATTAGATTTGTAATCAAAATTTTAAAAATTGTGCTATAGTTTTCTATCATCACTATTGCTTTTTCATAGTCGTCTCAAAACAAAACATGCTAAGTGTTATAAAGACGTTTTGCAGATAAATTGAAATAAAATGAAAATGGAAATGAATGGTATGAAAAGAAGCCTCATTTTGTTACAAGTGAAAGCCCTCAAGAAAAAAGTTTCTTAGGCACCAAACATGTCAACTGTGTACTGTAACCGGGCTCTAGGTATGCATTGCAAATAGTTTGAGGACGTTCAAAAATTTCAGACTTAAAGTCAGCCAGTTTGAAGAGCCAAGAAACTCTACATCAAACGTCAGGATTGCATATAATCGATCGATTTAGATGAATGTGTTGCCACAAGGGGTCTTAAGTCTCAACTTAAGAACGTAACATGGCCATACCCACAAAATATAGCGGAGACAAGTACAAATTAATATGACAGCTGCGTGGGAGCATCCGATCACGACGAACACCAGAAACAGAGTGAAACTCTTGTGATTCTTATGGCCGACGCAATTGTTGATCCATGGGCAGTGATGGTCCATTTTCATGACACACCTAGCCAAAAACAAACCAAAAACAATTTCAACGAAAAAATCAACGAAACAAACATTTTTCAACGAAAAAATGCTTTTTTTCTTTAACTTAAGTAAAACTTGTAGCTTTTAAGGGTTTTCGCCTTGAAAGCTACGAGTGGAACCCTCAGAAATAGTAGTCTACTTTCTCTGAAAAAAATAAGAAAACATAAGACATAATAATGCCACAAATAAACCACATCCTTTTACAAATTTTTTTTTAAAGATTTTAAAGAGCTACAGTTGTTGGATCAAGGATAGAAAGTTCTACTTTTACTCCTATCAAGTTTCGTAATATTTTAGAATTAAGACATTTTTCTTTCAAGTGAAATCTATATGCAATACAGAATGTTTTTTGTATTGAACACTGTATTTAATGTTTTTGTACTTTTTATTAAAGCCCTTTGACTTGTCGCCTTTCAATTTCAACAGAATTAGTAAGCGTGTATAGAATATTGGATACAAAGACTCGAATTTTGGCAAAAGATTTAACTCGGTATTCCTTGACTGGAAAAAAGTATTAACTATCTCTCTCAATCTAGCAATAATAATTAAACTGTCCTGATAAAACCGTATTTCGGGTAAACGCATTATAACTCTCTTGTAAAACCACAGAATATTTTATTCCAAAAAACGAGTTTATTTAAAACCTTTAAGCTAATTCCAACTGCAATTGTCAGTGAGAAAAAGGCCCAGCTTAGCAAAAAACAGGTGAAGTTGTATTGAACGCAGTTTCTTCAAATAGTTTCCTGTTTTCATTCAAGAGCTCCTAAAACCGTGGGGAAATAACTGTTCTCCGTTAAAGCTAAAATTCAAGATGAATTCAAGAACGATTGCATTAAAAAAGAATATGGGTGCCATTATTATCCACAGCATCGAAAAAGCTTGATGTGTTTCAAGTAGAAGAAAATCTTATGCTAATTCTTGCAAATTTGATACAAGTGAAGAGGCCGAAAACAAGGGAAAGGACAGACTAATCCTTCTTTGTGAACCAAGTCTGTTGCTGATGGAATGAATGAAAATTTAATAACAACAGCAACCGGTGAGACAAAAACATCTAAAATATTAACTTCTTACAACCAGAATCCGGCGGTTTTCAACCGCCAGAAAATTGAGGAAATTAGCAGCATACTTGATAGGACTTTCAAATATCATAAGAATTCAAATTATATGATTCGAATACAGCTATAATAATTGTTTTCAGACAGAGGCAAAAGATTAAACATGGACTTAAATACTGGCAGAAGAGATTCAGAAAATATGACATTGTCAAGGAATAGATAAATCATGATTGCCAACGTCCAGGCGGCATAGGGCACCTAAAAGAAGAAGAAGAAGAAAAAGAAGAAGAAAAAGAAGAAGAAAAAGAAAAAGAAAAAGAAGAAAAAGAAAAAGAAGAAGAAAAAGAAGAAAAAGAAGAAGAAGAAAAGGAAGGGGAGGAGGATGAAGTTGCTTTCATACAACAGCTCTTGGTAGAAAGAAAAGAAAAAGAGGAGGTTTTTGACTTGAAAGTTGTTTAAAGAAAAAAGTTATTACCTGTTACATTTTTTGCAATGATGCGATCTGGGTGCCTTAAATCCCATGCACGTTGAGCAATACTGGAGGCATTTCTCGTCTTCTTCATTCTCCTAGTGAAAAACCCAAACTTATAGAAAACAAGCTAAATATATGAAACAATACGAAATTAAGAATATTGCTACTTGAAGTGAGGTTTAGAGAAAATTGGGTCAGGAAATCGAGACAAGGCTAGATGATAATGGAGAATCTGAACTTTGTGAAAGTTTAGCAGGAAGGAACATGCAAACAGATATCTAAAGGAAGTTTGCAGCTTTTAAGGTGAAGAATAATCTTGGTAATGGAGTTTTTTTAATGTTTGTTGGGTGGAAGAAAGTATTTGCATGTTTGGGTGTCTGAAAGTATTTGCACAATCAGAAACAAACGTCATATTCTTCATCCATTTTTTGAGGTTTAAACAAGTTTTCTGGAATATATCTGGGGATAGAGAACGATTCTGCCCTCGCCTATTTTTAAAAACGCAACCAAAACCATATGGTTAAGACTGTAACAGTGATTAACAAATTTATCTTCCTCGGTCGCACAAACTGATTTGGATCGCAAAAGTTTTTAGAAAAGGTAAATTTTTAAAAACCAATATCGATGAATGTTATTCTTAAGGACTTTAACAATATACGGGGAATCGAGAATGTGACAAATTCGAGGATTCAAAACATTGAAAAATAAAAACAAATAAATTTGATTAAAGTACGGCCCTGTACATTAAAAAGCTAAATAATAAACATTTAATATTGATAAAACAAATCTCTAATAACTTTTTAAATAATCTTTTAATTTTTGTAACGATAACTATATTAGTTTTTCGTTATTTTTCATTCGAACTACAACACGCTGAACTACATTGATATTCAAAATATAACTTACAATTTCTAAATGATCCAAAACACAGTCAATTATATTGTGAAAGACACTCGGTTTGACTTTCTCTACAATGTTAATACCATAACGAATAATAGTTTTTTTCTAAATGAACTGCCAGTTTCAAGCGTCAGAGAATTTTGAGCAAAGTGCGACAGGCTTTTTATTTGTCACCAACGTTTTTTACTATCATGTTTTGTTTGCTTTTAAGGTCTGGTATCTGCAGATATTATTTAATATATCTATCATTTTTAATCTTTTTCGATACTCAGTCCACAGGTAATTCAAAGTTTGCAAGTTAAATGAACCAGCAGATTATCTCAAGCAACATGCTACAGCTTTGAGGCCTAATTATCGTGCTTTTTAAATCGCCCGTTGAACTAGATGATGTGGCACTAAGTATGTTTTCCTAAGATGATAAAGTTTCAGCAAGCTTTGATCGCCGTTTTAAGTCTTTGCACTAATGGCATTAAGGAAAAAGAGAATTCAGTAATGCCTTAGATTATCAATCGCCAAATTTGGTGAATATTTTAATCACAAGTCTAATCATATTGGCACTAAATCAAATTAGAACTATCTAAATTCAAGAAACTTCTTTTCGACTCTAAAATTTATCTTTTTAATCGTATATAGTATGATTTTTTTCCTTGGAACGATTATCTAAGAAGATCAAAATGGAGAGTAAAGATTAGGCGGTTGTTGCCAACGCCCTTGCAAAAAAGGCCATGCATCTAGAGTGCATCTGCTTTGCTTACAAATGAATGAATTTGAGAATGATAATCCATGAAGATCAGATACGACAGCCAAAACATATGCCTGTGATAGATAGAGTTTATAAGTTTTGTAATTTAGGGCTTCAAGCGTAGGTAGAATTGGTATATTTTTTATTCTCAAAACGAACAGCAGATGAAATTATTAATTAGCGATGATCTTTTTAGTATTTCTTTTAATGTCAATAGAACTTAAAATGCTATAATAACGATAAACATAAGTAAATTGTACTAGGAAATTTTTGTTTAAATAAATAACAACGTTTTGAGCATAGCCTGTTATCACTTATTGTACTGCACACAATCTAGTTTATTTATAGAACTTAAAATGGTTGTAGAACGGAGTTTGCTTTTGAATGGAGTTTTAAATGTAGCTACATTTAATGTTCTTGTCAAAACATGGTTCCAAATGTAAAAAAACTCATCGTTTGCATGTGGCTGCATTTAAATTGAATATACATGCTCTAGAAATAAAAACATGGAAAAAATACACAGAAAATTCAAAGTATGGTTTTAAAAAATCAATTTATTTCTAATAATTATTCAAAGTTTGAAAAACATACAGCTCACCATCATTACCTGCTTAATAACAAACAAGAAAAATTGAATAGCATAGACAATACTTGCAAACACATTCCTAGCTACTGGGTCTAGCATTGCAATTCAAATGAATTCAAAATAATTGCTATACATATGCTTTCAGCAACAGACATCATAAAGACCCTAGACTGCAAAAACTATATAAAATATGTTTCTAACAATACATAAATCTCTGCAAAAATATGTGGGAATTCTATATTTATAAATAAAAGCCCGGCACTGCAAGATGATGTTAAATTATGTTGAAAAAGTGCCACCAACTTGGCGTAAAAAAAAGTGTAAAGAAATTATAAAAAGTATAAATAGTGTAAAAAAATTAGCATAAAGAAGGAAAAATTATTGCAACAATAGTACCCCAACTTAGTTACAATATGTTTTAGAGCCAGAACTCTTAAAAAACTTCCCAACCTAGATTTTAGTGGACCTCATAATGTTGTTAAAACACTGGCGATGTTTAAATTCTAGGCTGCAAAGGTGTCAAAAAGGTTGCTACAACTTTGTCATTACTGTAAATCCATAAATTAGCAACCTCTTCCAATGAGCATCCTGTTCAAATGATTGATCCCTAAGACAGGAAAAAAATTAACAAGCCCTTCTCCCCTAAAATGTGAAGCCCCCTACCCCTCATTCCATGTCTTTGAAGAAATAAGTGTGAGTAAAGTTATGACAATGATGGAGAAACGGATATAATATTGACCTTAAGTAGAGAGCCATGTTCAACTTTTAATTGAAATTTAGATCAAGCTGAAAATCCAAAAGCATTATTATCTGCATGATCTGAAAAATGACTAAATGTTGATTTATGCCTCCTTTAACTGAGCAGCTATTAGAGAATTTATGGTAAATAGTCAAAATATTTAAAAACTTTTTCCAACAGACCATGTAAATGAAAGAATGTTAAGCCACAATAAAATCCAATCAAAATTTGAAACTCTTCTTGGATGGAGTTTTATATGCTTGACTGATTCCTCATAAAATAAATTGCATCAATTTTAGCTCATTTATGTGAGCTACATTTGCAAAGTGGCAGGAATTTCAAGTTGCTAGCAACTGGAAATTCGAGTTGTTTACTCAAATGTCAAAAGTTATGATTCTTATTTGATGGTAGCATACTAGCTCATTGGAGCTCATTCTAAGAAAAAAAGTAAAAGTGAGTACACAATAGGGGAGGAAAGACTATTAAAGGTTTTTGGCTTCATGATCTCCACCATATTTCAAAGTGCAACCTACAGATTTGTAAATGGGTTTTCTGCAGAATGTGTCTTCAGCATAAGATATGTCTTGCACCTTTTCGTGTAAAGTGGCTACAGTTTACAGCTTTTAGGTTGTGGGTGCAATGTTCTTGAAACAGAGAGACAACACCATGAGTACTTGTCACACAGTTATTCAATGTTTCCCTTTCCTTACTCATTAGCAAGGTATCACAGCTACATGGACCCCTTAGAACAGGGCTTCAACAGGAATTCTATTTAGAGTACATGACATCCTTCTTTCAGCCCTATCCATTTTTTCAGATGAACCATTGGGTACAATTGTACTATATTTAAAATATTTTTTTATAAGATGTTAAAGAAAAGACTTCAATTCTGTTTTTAGTCACAGAGCTTTTTTAGATAATCATTTTTACAGCATTTGCCAGGCACGATCAAGCCTGAACTCAGACCTATGCAAAGGTTGTCACAAAGAGAAGCCTCCCCCATTTCGTGGGTAATGCCAAAATATTTTTGAAAAATTTGTATCACTGATTTGAAAAAAAATGTTTTTGAAAAGGAACTGTTCCACAAAGTAAAAGAAGGCTGAATTTGTCTGCAGCACAAAGAGAAAAAATTAGGACTTGCTCTTTGTATAGTCATGCCTGTTCTATCTTTATTCTAAAGCCACCACACCCTTGTACAGACACGCAATTATGACTGCAGACAAAATAAAAGAGACTGATTTGGCAAAAGATAGAAATTTGTAGAAAGCTATGACTATCTTGAATTCTCTTTTTTGCGTAGTGATATAAAAGTGTAGATGAAGGAAACACCTGTTTTATATAATAACAACCACACAATTCTAAATGCATCCAGCAGACAGGATAGATAAGCAAATTTTTGCAAAGAATAATTCACATGTACCATTAAAATAGCTCTCTATCTCAAGTTTCTCTAGTTTTCACTTAATCTTGGATCGACTTGGATCATAACTTTTCAATCGTTACAAAATTTCAATTGTGGAGCCATTTTCAATTTTTACTATACAAAACCTTTTTAAAAAGGAGCTTTAGTTGATTCCCCAAATAATATGATCAAAGAGAAATAACATTTATTATCGAATTTTGAAAGAGCATTTTGTTGTCCGCCCTATTGTTTCACGAAAGTTTTTCAACAACTTTCTCCTCCCTATCACATAAGATTTGTCAGACCATCGCATCATTAGACGTCAGGGCATACGACCCAAAACATTTAATATTTCAAATTATCAAGAGAAAAAGACTTACCGGTTTCCAACCAAGAGGCACAAATCCCGGTCCATCGAAAGCTGCTTTCAAAAATTCTTTCAGAATTGCATAAACCCATGAACAGAAAACAGCCAAGTGCAACAAACCTCCAATATCACAAGGGGAGTACCATGAAATATCGGCCAACAATGCATTAACAAACAGAAATGTAATTATACTAAGTGCTGTCAATGGCCCCCAGTGAAACAGACGTTTGAATCGAGTCATCTATGATCACTTGCATACTACTTAAATTCTAAAATTAATTCTGTAACCAAAAGATAAATCTTGGAATTTCCTCGCATCCTTATCGCAGAACGCCGCCAAAGATTTGAATTTGAAAACGAGTGTGTCATTATTAGATTCGAGGCAATAAACAATCCAATTCACTTCGTCGCCAGAAACTTATAAATCTTTCATCATAACCACTATTTTCGACAAAGAACGATAATTTTTATTATGTATTAAGAACAAAATTCCTTATTTATTTACATGATTATGAGTATGCTAAGTTCCCGACGACTTTCCGCATCATTAAATGCAAAAGGCGAATTGAAATCGAAGGGTTTATTGTAGTAAAAACCTTAGAATCCAAAATTCAACAGAAAAGACCGCATATTGTAAACTTGAACGAAACCAGAAAGCAATTTCAATCTTTAGTTATGAATTAAGCAGAAAAGATATAAAAATTGAATTGACGCTTAATAATAAAAACTTTGAAGATTTTTGATAAAAAAACATAAAGTTGGTCGTACAAAGAATATTATAACACTGCGGATATAATGTGCATTGATTTGAATTTATTTGTTTTGTCATTTAGTAGATGCCCATGTTTACCTAAATATCTTCAAACAATTCTTTCGACATTGAACAAAACAGAAACGTTATACATTATTATGTTAGCAGTGTTTTGTCCTAAAGAATTTAGGGCACGAAACGGCAGATAACGATCTAAAAGTAGATAGACGTCATACGGCGCTGATCAAAAATGCAAGGTGGAACGGGTGTCTAAATTCGCTATTTAGACCCGGTGGCAGCCACAGAACGCTTATAAAATTCAAAATTTAATGTTAGGAGATTAATACCTTTTTTCTACAATAATATTGATAATTCATCTTATTATAGACAAGCTCTAAAAGATCTAATTGCCAAGACGTTGTGATTTGACACACTGGATTTTCATGTAACTGTTGTCGTATGGCGGATTCACATTGTTACAACTCGCATAAGATACAGAAAATATAAGAGAAAGCTACTTGTGAAGCTACTATCAAACCCCAAGGTCGAAAATACCCTATTAAAAATTTGTTCTTGAACCCTAATACATAATAACACTAACGTAAAGCACCTTCTTTGTCTTACCATTGACATAATTATACAGTATTTAATTATTTTTTGAACTGAAAAAATGACATTTTTTTGCCATGGCATCCTTAGCGCCAAAGACGCATTTTTTTGATAAATTGGGAGACAACCTTTATGCTACAGAAAACAATATAATTTGAATGAAAATTCAAATTTAAACGATAAATTCTACCTAAGCCTTTTTAAAGAAAAAGGGGCACTGTTCTTGACCAAATATTACATTAGTTTTAAAATTAGCATTATCTACCTAAAAAAGCCTAAACTGAAATATTTTGGGTATCCCTTATCACTTAGGTTTAGTTGAGTTTTTCAGCTTCAGAATCAAGTTTAGAACGCGCATAAAGTACTTCTTAGAAAACAAGCATCAATGAAATAATTTCTCTGTTCATAGCCTCATATTTGTTTTGGAAAAATTTGCAACGTGCAGTATATCATATGTTGAAGCTGGTATTCTAAACGCAAAGTCGTAGGGACTTGATTGTGACATGTTGGGACCTTTTGATATTCCCGAGCCGAGTTGTATTCCTGGTTAAGAAAAACACATCCCAAAATCCCCAATCCAATACTAATAACGGTCTCAGATGACTCTTCAAATAAACAAAATTATGATTTAACAGTTATGAATAAACACTCAAATGCTAGCTGACAACACACATTTTTGGATCAGACGATGGAGAATAAAAAACACACGATTTTCTGTATGCCCAATTATTTACATTTGTCGGCTTTATTGAAAAATTAAGCATCAATAATTATATTCTATTTCAACCATTTACCAATGATTTTAGACCTACAGTTCTAAATATTATTATTTAAAAGTTCTGGTGGTGAGTATTTTAGCGCATGCGTTATTGTGCATAACAGCAAGTATGCATTAATTCAACATCAAACACAAACTGTATGCTTGGATAGCAACCCGTTTCAAAATACCAAATGCTGATTTCAGTGGTGAATCGAAAATCCAATTGAAATGCAAAAGAAATATTAATTTGTTTAGGGACATTTAAAAGCAAAAACGTACTAGATAAAGAACTTGAAACCTGAAGAGAATTAATCGATTCCGGCTTTTAGTTACCTATCCTATTTATAAGTATTCTTTTTCGTTATTTCTAATACCATGTTTGATATTTTGCAAAAGGAATAAGATGAGCTTCTGTAATTAGGCCATCAAAAGTCCCATGATCTGAAGCTAGTTCCCTTCTTTCTACAGGCTCCCACATTTCCCTTTGTGAAGAACCTTCCCGTTCCCTTATAAAATGATGTCTAGCATGGAACCCTTACAAATTATTGGAATATTCCATGAAAATTTCATCTCTGCATCGTACAAGAGTTTTTGGGACTTTGTTAGAATCCGCAAACGAAATCTTTACAAACTACTGATGAACTACGATTCAGCAAAATGAGAATATTCTCAACACAACGACTATCGCGCTTTCAGGAAAAAACCCTTGTCACTATTGAATAAATGGTTCACCAATTATGAAGCTATCGATTTTGCATACATCGACACGAGAAAAGAGTGTATTATTTGCAAGAGGGCGGGGCAGGAAAGGCAGTTAAGGGTGTGGAGGTATGCTCTTGAACAAGATGCTGGAACCAGGACGAGGTGCTTGCAAAATTTATTGAACATGCTTGTAGTATGATACTTTGGGGTATGATGTAAAAGGCCCGTAGTGACAAGTCTCGTTTGATACGATAGGCGATGGTCTTCACAAGCGTTGCTAAAGAAAGTTTATCATTGTAGCAGTCAATGTTATCGTCAGAGCGCTAAGGCTAAAGTGTCTACATTTGCAATTGTGATCTGCTTTTATTCAACAGAAGGTTACTATCTAAGCGTTACGAAAAACTTAAAACACATATTTCACAGGTACCCTACATTGCGTGCGTCTTATACAACTTGACCGACCCATTTAAACTACCATTTAATGGTCCATTCCCATTGCTAACCCGCTTTTTATCAAACAAAGTGTTCTCCTCCTCACTATCCTCGTCTGATTCAGTAAAGGTCAGGCTATGTGCGAAGTACTTTCCTAGAAAATAATACGAGCACTTATTAAAATAGTAAGACATAAAAGAATACGAGCAAAAATCAGTCCTCCAAAAGAGCTTCCATTATCAAGCAGTCAGCTTTGATAAATAACTCAAGTTCATGCTGTTAAACCCAAAAGGTACAAAATAAAACCCACCGTTTCCTTTCGAAATCATCATGATTTCTTCTTTGCTTTCATCTTTGTCATCTGACTTCAAAGGATAGTATCGACCCTTGCGTCGCAGCCGAGATCGTCTATAACAAAAATAATATGACGTAAGCAGGCGGAGTTTGATAAAAAGTTAAAACAGACAAACTGCATTGTCTAGAGAAAATATCTTTAAAAAATCAAGGTAAAGAATGCTGATATGCTTAATAGCCATTCCCAAGTGAATAATTTGCTATATATGCTTAATACCAAATTAAAGGTAAGACAGACACATGGTCCAACTGAGAAATATATCTCAACATGAAAAATAATCAGAAATTACTTAATCTTTGCTTAAGCCACAACATACGGTAAGATAATACTTGACATTTGGATTCTACGTCAGGCAAAATAGTTCACTGTATGTAATGCGATGAAAAACAGGCAATAAAGGTACCTTGAAAAGCAGAAACATAGTCCCCAGGTCAAACCAATCAGCGACATTGCGATTCCAAACACGACAACAGAGAGATACAGAACGCTCCACTCTAAAAAGATTGACGTCATGTTACCAAAAATGCTTAAGCGCAGACAAATACTGGGGCAAAGCATCTGTTAAGGCTTTAGGGCCTTTGGGCAAAGGTTGGGGGTGGTTATCACAAACCAGGATAAGCATTGTTTCTAGCAGAAACATTTAAGATATGATATATTGTCAAATAAATACTTCATTGTGTTTTGATTATGAATTATTTATGAAAGACTTGGGTAATTTGGTATTACCTGAAAAACTGAAAGTGATTGAATACGCTCCAGACATTGAGATAATCTTGATATAATTTAAATATTATCAACATTCATGTCCCCTTATTGATTGACTCCAAAAATGGCAGACTTGGGGTTCTTATTTCCTTTTGTTTGTAAACCTAACAAAACTCCATTCTGAACTCTACAATAACAAAATCTACACAGATTCTTTCTGTGACTTTGTTTTTCTGCAATGCCAGGCATTAACGCTGTTTACTAATAAGATAAATGGCATACCACAGTTTGAGACACGCTCTCCATAATTGGCTTTGAAAAAATTCTCCATCCAGAAACTGTCACAAACACAGAGTTTGCTATTTTTATCACAATAACCATGACTGGAGCAGTTGTTCTGCAAACTGAAAGGGTACAGATATTAGAACAAAAGGGAGTAAAATGTCATGTAAAGAATTATGAAACTTAAGGTGTATTCGAAAGAAGAATAATTGTGTAAACATATGACGAATCCCTTCTACTGAGGTTGTATGCCTGACAGTAAAGAAGAAAATCAGTAACATACAAACATACAAAACAAGTAAAAAAGTTATTACTTATTGAAAATTAGAGCATTAATGTAAGGACGAAGAAACTGCAACAAATCGATGTGCTTGAAAACAGTGGAAAATCTGCATGTGAAATTCGCGTAGGCACCTGAAAAGATCATACCCATTGGACTGCGCTTATTCTTTTCTCTTTGTGTCAAATTCGAATAGGTTGCAAGGCGGACAGACTTAGTCGCGTCCACCAGACAAAAAACTTGGGAAAGGCCTGTTTTTAAAGTTGTTTCTTGAAGAACAAAGACTTACGACAACCAGAAGCAAGTTTGAAATCCAAAAAGTCTGTGAAGTTCTAGATAATCCTATTAACTATTTATAATTCATATTATCACCTAAATTAAAAATTCATCATCGTTTTAGACTGAAAGAAAATTTGTACTTTGAAATTGGGACACAATAAAGTTATTATACAGTAATAAACAGGGCGCAATAAATGTGACTGATAAAGGAAAATTAAAACCGGTTGTGCTTTCCAGAAAAAGCCTCCACAGTTTAGCATATCGATAAAAGGTTAAACAAAATACAGTCCAACTACTTTATTTCAAACGTCATACCACGCTTTGATTATGAGGAAATCTTCATTTCTCAATGCAATGTTTATTGTTTGAAGAAATTAACAATGAAAGTAGAAGGATCTATCACAAATTGTTGGAGTTAGGACAACCAATTGATAACAATGCACAAGTTCTGGTCTCGCGTTGAAATGTCTTTAGAAAATTTAATTTTGCAGCAATCAATAGCTCCAACAAAGATGACTCATGTTTAACAAGACTCTGTAAAAAGTGCTTTTTCGCCAAGTATTTACAATAAATTTCAGAAATGTTCTCATAAAAAGGGTACTGCTTAAAATAAAAGCAAAGCTAGTCTAACGATGTTCAGGTAAACATAAAGAAATAATAATGATAATATTATATTAGTTTGAAAAATTTGTGAGAATACTAGCGACTATGGGGGTTTCAAATAATCGCGTTATCATATGGGTAGTGGTTGCTTTCACTTTCACCGTGACAACATTGTTGCCTATTTTGCAAGAGTGGCAAGTGATAAAGCTTTTTCGCACAAACGATTCATACCCAAAGTTTTTCTGTCTATGAACAAGGCTTTGAAAAAGGGAATAACCAACTCACCACCCTACCCCCCTATAAACTAATTCCAGTGCAACGGCGTTACAAAAAGACACTGAAGTTGGGAGAGATTTCTAAACCTAAAGACATCAATCACATATTTGTCTGTAAAAAGTTAGAGCAGTGTGCTGGCTTCTGACGTTGTTAAATCGTACTGCTAACAAAATTGGCGATTTTAAGATCAACCATGACATGCTGGTTTACTTACTGTAGGGCTCTACACGCAGCATCTTGTACTCGAAAAGTGTTCCGTGATATCCAATCTTCTGTTTTAGCAGGTTGGCTATTACCAAACCATCTATCTTGCTTCCAGTAATACCATCAAGGATGTAAAACAACAGAACGATGCCGTTGCCATATCCAGCCTGGCGTATTTGCTCAAGAACAACATTTTTATCGTCCACATTGAGCACGACCGACAGCTTGCGTAATAGTTGTTTCTGAAGAGGAAGATGTAGAAATTAGGCCAAAAAACAACTGCAGCAATAATCGTTACACAAGTTTGACAAAACAATGTGTTAGTTTGACAGTACAGTTTGACAATGTACAATGTGAAGTGCCTTGGGGTCAGGTTTGTGCAATTCGAATGTGATCTGCTCAATGAATAATGATACAGAAATATCACTTAACAAAATAACATTCTACAGAAATTATAAAGTTTCAATGTTTCAAACTGTTTACACCAAATTACTGTTCTTAACATCGCATCCAATTTCTATATCCTGGCAAACTTGTAAACAAGGCCACGTTGTTGCTAAATAGGTAGCCTGTGGACTGGATAAAGTGATCAAGCAAAATTCCCAATCAATTTGATGCTATCTTTGTAAACCTTCCTTATCATAATTAAAGATTTCTCAAACGAGCTTCCATAGAATATTGCAAAACTGTATAACAAATTATTAAAATTAGCCTAACTGAACTAATCTAAAATCTTTTATGCAGAAATGTGTTTATCTAAAAGAGTGGAGAAACATGGCCATTCAAAGTTCTTAAAAACCAGAAACCACATTTAGAGATCCACAACTATAAATCAGTGTTCAAGATAAGGCTAGCAATAGTTTTTAAACAGAATGCTGTTTTGAGATTTGCTCAGACGTCTTATCATCAATCTTGTTTTAGATAGCAGAAAGAAGTGAACGCTGTTCATCTTCCTTTGTGATTCATTTAAAAGAATTAAGATAAAGTTATTGATTTGATCAGATAAAATCTTAGTCACTTCCATACCATAAGCAAAGTTAGATTTTGCAGACAGACAAGTGATAATTATTAGAATACAGAACATACTTTATTTTCCTCTGTGAAGCTATAGATGTCAACGTCTAGGTAAAGCTCGACCAAATAAAGGCTGTTTTCATCTGAAAAATAGATTATTATCAGAATAGTAATTTGTGAGGTAAGTACACTTTATAGTATCATAATACGTGGCTTTGCTAAATATCTAGCATAGGTATGTACAATGGCAACGAAGAGGTGACATATAGAGGTACAATGGCACATATTCAATTTGTACTCAGGTCTTTAAACCGATGATATTGTTTGAGATAATGATTAAGGAAAATGATTGATGATATGGATTGATTATAATGATTGACGATAATATCATCACTGAGTTAATCATGAGTTATATCATCAATGTGAATTATTCATGACACACATGACAAATATTCAAGACAAAATGATAATAAAGATTGATGAAGATTGACAATGATTGATGACGGTTATTTGTGATAATGATTGATGACAATATTGATGTCAGTGATTGATGACAAATATTCCTGACCAATAATAATAACGATTGATGATGATTGACAATGATTGATGCCGGTTATTTGTGATAATGATTGATGACAATATTGATGTCAGTGATTGATGACAAATATTCCTGACCAATAATAATAACGATTGATGATGATTGACAATGATTGATGCCGGTTATTTGTGATAATGATTGATGACAATATTGATGTCAGTGATTGATGACAAATATTCCTGACCAATAATTATAACGATTGATGATGATTGACAATGATTGATGACGGTTATTTGTGATAATGATTGATGACAATATTGATGTCAGTGATTGATGACAGATATTCCTGACCAATAATAATAACGATTGATGATGATTGACAATGATTGATGACGGTTATTTGTGATAATGATTGATGACAATATTGATGTCAGTGATTGATGACAAATATTCCTGACCAATAATAATAACGATTGATGATGATTGACAATGATTGATGACGGTTATTTGTGATAATGATTGATGACAATATTGATGTCAGTGATTGATGACAAATATTCCTGACCAATAATAATAACGATTGATGATGATTGACAATGATTGATGACGGTTATTTGTGATAATGATTTTGTGAATAATGATGTGATATTTGTTGGACAATATTGATTGTCAGTGATTGATGACAATAGTTCCTTGACAAATTAAAATAATAATGATTTGATGATGATTGACAATGATTTATGAACGGTTATTTGTGATAAATGATTGATGACAATATTGAGATGTCGAGTTGGAGTTGATGACAAATATGTCCTGACCAATATAAACTCATGAAGGATTTGAGATGATGTGACAATGAATTGATGACGGGTTGATTATGGTGGTAATGATTAGGATGACAAATATTGAGTGTCAGTGATTAGCAATGACAATATTCCATGACTCATATAGAATAATAATGATTGATGATGATTGACAATGATTTATGACGGTTATTTGTGATAATGATTGATGACAATATTGATGTCAGTGATTGATGACAAATATTCCTGACCAATAATAATAATGATTGATGATGATTGACAATGATTTATGACGGTTATTTGTGATAATGATTGATGACAATATTGATGTCAGTGATTGATGACAAATATTCCTGACCAATAATAATAATGATTGATGATGATTGACAATGATTGATGACGGTTATTTGTGATAATGATTGATGACAATATTGATGTCAGTGATTGATGACAAATATTCCTGACCAATAATAATAACGATTGATGATGATTGACAATGATTGATGACAATCATTTGTGATAATGATTGGTGATGATATTAATGTCAATGATTAATGAAAATATTCCTGACAAATGATAACAACGATTGATGATGATTGATTATAACAATATGCATCGCGGATCCATACCTTGCTTTACAGAAAGCACAACTTTGTCAGTGCTCTTGAGTCCCCTATTATCTTCAACTTTGAGCTCAAACGTATACACGCCCTCGACGAGGTTAACTAATTTCAAAATGGCTTTGTGATTACTTTGGTTCAGGACATCCTGAAAATTAAAAGACCAAATCAGGCAAAGAAATTCTCCAATTCACAGATTGATTTTTGCTAGTAATGCTTATGTCCAGCCAGAACTGGAAAGTTTCATCTAGTCTTTATTCCACATGTGATTTCGAGATTGAGGCTAAAATGTCGATAAACCTCTCAGGCAATCAACTCATTCTACGCTACTTCAACTATAGATTTAATACTTTGTCGAGGAAAACTGGCGTAATTTCATAACATCGCTTAGCACTTAACTGATCAAACAGATTTACACAAACAACTGACACCTTCATTCTCAACATAAAGTAAACGTGTACGAAGAAATGGTCACAAAACATGATCCGGATGTAAGAAAAGTACAAATAAGTTACGAACCCCAGCAGCTGGACTTTTCCTGTCTCTGATCCACTCATAGGAGACAATTCCCTGATCATCACTTGACTTTGATCCATCAAGTTCCGCCGATCGAGCTGGCAGGCTGACAACAAAGTCCGGTCCGGCGTTGGCGAGCGGTGGCATGTTTTGACCTACGATTATGATGAAACTGTTTTTCAACGAAACGCGATACAATGTGGACTGGTGCATGAGTTGACTTTTTCACTCTATTGTAATATCTTAAATGCTTGAAGACCTTATATGAACCTGTTTTCAAAAAAATGCAACTTCCATGTGATACAAAGTCAAAGTGATATAAAGTGTGTGAATAGGTGAATTTACCGACTAAAATTCAAAATGCAAAAATCCAAGAATCGCTTTGTTTCAATGTGAATCAATTTTATTTGTATGCGAATCAGTTTAATTTTAGTGCGTGGCAGTTATAGGCCACCGCAAATATCACATCAGCCTCTTTGTGAAATTCTCGGTTCCTTGGGCGTAGAGTCATACAGATGACAAGAGAAAAGTAGATAGGAGACGTTCAGCGTGGGAACATGCAACATGGATGGCTGCAAAATGTTTTTCTGATTGGTTTCCAAGGTTTTGCAATAAATCAATATCGCATAACAATAATCATTGTTCCTGTAAATCTAACAAATGCAGAATATACTCACTTTTCTTGACATTAACAGCAACGGTGTCTGAATCACTAAGGCCTTTATCGTCTGTGATTGTTAATTTGAACACGTATCGTCCTTCAACCAGTTTGGATAAATGCAACACTGCTTTGTCAGCGTCTTTCATTTCAAGGCCCTCTGGTCCACTAAGGAAAAAAGCAAAAATGAGGTATAGAGGATTATGGCATTTGCAGAAATTCCCTAGAGATTATAACAGAATGAAAAACGGTTGTGCAAAGTAAATAATAAAGAAACACAATAAATATAAATAAACGACAACAACAAAAATATTTAAGTCGAAACTTTAGTTGGCTTCCAAATTAAAATATGACACAAATTTGATCAAAACAGAAACGCTATATCTCTAGTTCGAATTATCTCGAAATTTATGAAATTAAATAAACATCATTCTTCAAACATTTTTCAAAGTAAAATAAAAAAAGGAAGCAAATTTTGATCAAATAAGTCGCTCCTTTAAATGTCTTTAGGAATTGCAACAAAAATACTTTGGGCATTTACCTTACTTTCTCCCATTGGAACTTAACAATTTTGCTATCGTCTTTACTCTTTCTTGCATCGAGTATCGTTGAATCATCTGGGAATACGAGGTCCTTCAAGAAAAGAAGAAGGAATAGATGAAGTATTTAATTTATGTGCTGGCAAATGGCCAGGGTGAAAAGTTCCTGAAAAGAGACACAGAACAAGCTTTTCTGGATGACCATTCGTTGATTAGTGACAAAAATAAGGGTTTTTACCTTGTCTGATCCAGCCACTGCTTTTGGTGCTTCGTTCTTCGATGGCCTAACCACAACTGTCACTTTTGACTTAGACGTTTGCCCTGATGTGTCTGTCACCTTCAGCACAAATGTGTAGTCTCCAATCTCCAGGTTTGAGACGGTTAAAATTGGAGCCGTTGTTCCCTGTTGAAAATGCGAGATGGACGATTGAAAAGGTAACATAGAATTTTATATTCATCAAAACTTTCACATTGGTACTTTAAAAATAATGCTTTGAAAAGGAGAATAGATTGGCCATACCATTAATACCAGTGGACTTTTCATGTTAGAAATAGCTTTTGCGCCACGTTTAGAGCCGGCAAGTAGAAACTACACTTGGCTGGGGCAAAGCGGCAAAGTTATTGCTTGATTAAAGTTTTTTGTGCCATTAGTACCATTCCACAACACCATTAATACAAGTTTTAGTTTCATTACAGGATCGATAGGCCGTCAACCATATTTTTTGCTTTCTGTCGCTGTTCTGCTAAGAGCCGTTGTTCTTTTCGGAGCTCAAAATAAAATGACCACAGAGTGGAACATATTGGGATAGCCTATTGCTTAACTCCGTTAGTCAAAATTTAGGTGACCACACAGAAATTTTTGGGGACATCAGCGATTTTCCTAAAAACAGCAGAGCCGCTGACCCAGCTAAAATGAATTTACACTTACCAACATATCACCTACAGCAGGGCTGTCTGGGGTCTTCGTCCATTCATACTTTAGTCCAGGCTGAAACATTGTTTGTTAATTAAAGGTTTGTTCAAACGTTGCGATAAATCAAAAGAACAAAAATAAAATTACATGAATTCAAGCTAACATAAAATTATAAACTCAAGCTGTAAAGTGTCAATCTTGACAAGAAAAGTAAATCGTATTCTTCCAATATGAAACGACAATGATAGATCAAACAAGAAAATTTGTCTGATGTGCTAAATTGATACCCAAATCATATGATGTTGCTTTATTTTACACCTTGTATACGCAATGGTTGTGGATAGTTTACCTTGTCGTCAGTGCTGGCATTTCCATACAACACTGCCGAGTTATGAGGAAGTTGCAATACGATATCTTTGCCGGCACGGGCAACAGGAGGATAGTCTTTCTCTGTAAAAGAAAAAACGGTTTTCATTGGCAATAAACCACACATATGATTGTTGTTTCTTTCTATAATTTATCCAATCTTTAAAAAATGTCTAGCCTAATTTTTAACGGTTTTTTATCATCTAGCAACAGTAAAAACGTCAATGTAACAGATATTCCTCCGACGCACCTTTCCCGGTATACCATTCTCCGATCAGCACCGAAACAGAGGTATGACAAGGTTGTATATGCCCATTTGCGAAGAAGTGTTACCCAGCATGTTCATATTTGGGTTAAAAATCTCCATTAACGGGAAAAAATTACAGCTTTTCTTACCTTGTAAAACGTTGATCGTGACTTCATCATGGTCCTCCTCGCCATCTGAATCAGTTACAGTCAGTCTAAAACCGTTTGGTTATGAGATTAAAAACGAAGCAAAAAGCGATAGGAAAATATTCTTAAATTGAATATGGATAGAAGCAGACAGTTTGGTAATTGGCAATTAGCACAAAGCTTTGGATGACTGGCTACTTGAAACCAGCAGTTCTTAGGGTTGAAGAGATTACGACAAAAATACGCTGCAATACACCATTATTGCACCAGAGTGTATTGCAGCGTATTTCGTGTATTGAATATGTAAGTCGAATTGGTGTTTCGAATATGTTGAAAAAAGATAGAGAGTAAAATCTGTAAAAGAGGGGAAAATATAATCTCTTTTATTCTTCATGAGAAAGTTGAAAGAAACACTAAGTTTATGGAAACTGGTAGATCTGACCAGCTCATTGCACTAGAATATGAATATAATATTTTGATGTAAAAGCAACATCTCATTATCCTTTGCACGTTTTATCTTTGGCACAAAAAATCAAAATTTAGATATGGTGGCAACATGCACAAAGATGTTAAGAGTTTTATTGAAAAAACGGTTCGAATTAAAAGTATAAAAATAAAGATTAGACTAGTTCTAAAATGCAAAATAACCTGAAAGTATAATCCCCTGCTTCTAGATTTTTCAGCTCCAAAATCGGTTTGTGTGCTCCGTTAGATACAATTTTGCCATGACTGTTAATCGGCGCCTTCATTTCTTCCCATTTGTAGCTGACGATCTTGTCATCATCACTGCTTTCTAAATATAAATTCAAAATCCATTGAATATTTTGTATTTCAAAGTATCTGTGGTCATAAAATAGATCTGTAGCATCAAAACGTATTCAAAATCTAATTATTAGAAATTATGACAACAAAAGTAAACCTTTACTTTCATACGTAAATAAAGTACTTTGTGATTACCAATTTTTATTCAAAACCTACGGAATCATGATAATATATTTTGCTGTATCGCCAGTTTATTGTACGCTTTATACTGGCTATCCACAACTTCCAGAGTATTATCATGAAATTCTAGTAACAATATAACAGTCCAACTATCAAAAGCTTTTTAAAATGATTTCTTTATAGAATAGCTAGCCGGGTTAGTATCGAACAATATTGTTAAAGGGAGGTGTCACTAAAATCGACATAGAAAGCTGATGATAGTGTTCCGAGACTTTTCTGTGTAACTGCATTCGGATTCACTCAAAACACACTCACTTGATCCATCAAGCACTGCTTCGTTCGTTGGCAATTGTACTGTCACCTCTTTCGGTTGAATGGCGGCCCTGGGGGCGTGGTTGACCCGAGGGACTGGTTTTACGGTCACGTTAACCAGGGCACTGCCTTGGCTTAAGCCATCCGTTGTTGATATCGTCACCTTAAACTGATAAACGCCGGGCACGTCGAGTTTGGTGAGGATCAACCTGCTCTTGTCCTTGCCCTCCATGTAGCCGTGGCTCTTTTCAGGCGCAGACAGCTTGTACCATTTGTACTTATAGGTGACATCTTGAAAAAAGTAATATTAGCATTTTTAAAATGCAAGAAAACTCTTGGTAGATTGTTTGCAAATTTCACTTCGTAAGCGACTTTGTACAACAAGATATTGTAAATTTCAATCAAAATTCTGTTACACATAAATCATTCTCGGTTCGGTGATATCCTCAATGATGGGCGAAAAACTATAGAGTTAGGCTCGACCACAGGAATCTACATAACAACAACAACAAGAACGACATCAACAACAGCAACAGCAATAACAATAGAATAGCAATAACAACAACGGCAGGACATCTCAGATGTGCTCACATGTCACATCCTAATAAAAATGCGCAATAAGGTCAAGACATATTTCTGAAAGTGAATATATTTTTCCCTCTTCTAGGACTAGGACCCTCTTTTTCAACTCTCCTAAAAAAATTGTTGAGTCTTCACTAGTGTGAATGACAATCGACATACAAAAAGCAAATCTTTATTGCCAGGAAGGATATCGGAAACTAATGCAACACAGACAAACAAACCTTTCGGCGGCTTAGGCCAAGTGCTAGCGTACAGGCTCACGTGATCTTCTGGAAGTACAAGTTCTTTGTTTTCTCCAGCAGAAACTTGGATTGTAGTGACAATGGAAGCTGTAAAACAGGGGAAGAAAAGTTCTATCACCTTGATAAAACAGGGGAAAAGCTCTATCACCTTGATAAAACAGGGGGAAAGTTCTATCACCTTGGTAGGCGAGAAAGGTGGCTTTTCAAATCCCATCACAGCTAGAAAAATATCTGGAAGGGCAAGGAAGGTATGAAACCTTGTTGAAAATTGTGAAAAAACCTATCCTTATTCTTAATGAATCTATGTCCGATTATGAGTCAAAAATTCCTCGATTGGCAAAGGTCATTGCGAAACGACAGATAACAATTTTTTTAACTGATGAGATTTTTACAAATAACAGTTCGATGAACTTACGTTTTGAAATTGTTGCTGCTGAAGTTGGTTTTGGCGTCTTTTTCGTATCTGCAAAGCGGCAAGTTTTTTTATTAAAGTTCTTGATTACGATCACAGTTATCAAAACACTGAAATTTCATAGAAAACTTGCAGATCACAGACTTAGATTTGCTAAAAATTGACCAGTTTGGAATGTCCTTAAAAGTAGATTCCTTTCTAAGATGCAAATATTGCTGCTGTCAGACAATTGCCTTATAGTCTAAATTTCTATAAATGTAAAAATTTTTTACTTTATCAAAAATTCTAAGAAGATTTGAGCTGATATCAACATGCTGGAGTGAGAAATTTAAAACACGGGTTCTCACCTTGTTCTTCAAGACTTATTTCACCAACATTCTTTACGGGGACTGTGATAAGAGTCGAACGGATGGTTGGCAGCTAAAAAATGATCAAAAATACTTAGTAATAACTTTAAAATTAAGGAGAAATCAACTCTGGTACCAAACATTTTATACAAGATGTTGGAAAAAAATTAAAAGTCTTACAAAGCTATCTGAAAGGTGAATCTATAAAATGCGAGAAACGGAAACTCACAGATTCGTAGGCCTATTTTTAAAACGGATATGCCAGTAAACAGCGAAAAGCTTAACACTTACTACTTAAATAACTTACCACTTTTACATACCATACATACCATTAAGACTCTCTAAATCAACATCTCACAATAATCCCGACTAAAGCAAGGGTTATAGCTAAGGTATTTCAGCTTTCTATGCTACAGATTTAGAAAAATGCCTCCATCACACTTGGCAATTATACTAGAATACTAAAGTCTTAACAACAATTTTATCATAAATCTGTGAAGAAGAAGATCTTAACGTACAGCGCTTGTTGTTCCATCTCCCAACGCCAAAAGTGACTTCTTTAGCGAATCATTTCGTGAGGGTTGCAGAACTGAAGCAGCTGTGGGTGTTGGTTGGGGACTCACACCGGCTTTCAGTGTTTGGGAACTTCCGGTTGTCCTTGCTTTAGTTACGGGCTTGCTTGTGGATGAAAATTCCTCGGCTTTTGTTGCCTCTTCTCTTTCTTCAATGGGGTTTAGGGTTGTCTTCGAATCGACAGGGGCTGTAGTTGGTTTATTGGTCTGTGGGGTTTGTGTGCTGGTAACAACGCTGCCATTTTGAGGAGCTTCTGAGCCAGCCTCTTCATCACTAGTAAGTTTTCTACCATGTTTTCTTCTAAGAGGTTTATCAGATGAGCCCAAGGTTTCCGTGGTACCTTGCCCCTCACTAGGCATTTCAGCTGTCAAATCGTCTACAGAAATAAAAAAATCAAATACAAGAAATAATAATTAATGGTCCAATTCAATGACGGTATAATAGTTGCTAACAAACATGATTTTTATATTTCTTTTTTTTTCTTTATTCAAAGCTGGTACAATGTCTAGCTACACTAAAGCTAATTAAAATCAACTAATTCAAATTACCATCGCATTTCACAAATAATACATAACCAATTTTGCATATGTTTATATTCCTTGGAAAGGTCACAGGTACAATTGCATGATGAAAACACTGTGATTTGTTTCGAAAATCAGTGGCTGTTGCGAATGTAAAAGAGATTAATCTACTGAATGCAAGATCAGAGCTTCCGAACCATCTAAAAAAACACTTCTATATCTTGCTTTTCACACAAATTGCCACATATTGTTTTTCACAGTAATAAGAACAGGTCAGTCCCTTCTCGATTCATACAACTTGTATAAACCTACGACAATTCTTCGAAAATATATAAAATTCCTACCAAGCAGAAGGCAGCTTGGATCTTCATCCTCATCTGGCAGTGAATCGCAAACAGGTAGCAATGATCGCACACTGGTCGTCTCACTATCGTACTCCCTTTGGCAATACTCATCTTGGAGCTGCTCGCAAGCCTTGCGACACAATCGGGTGGGTCTCGGGTGTTTCGGATCTGTGCATTCTGGGTACCATGTGGCACACATTGCATATAAAGCATACCTAGAGAAGGAGAGCAAAAGAATCAATCTTCAAGAAGTTTTCAAGAAGACTCGGGACATGCACTTGCAAAATACTAAAGATATCGTGCTTATGTTCAGCATAACCAGCATATCCGAAGACATGGCATAATAAAGCCACTAGTGCAAGGATTGCTCAATGGCTAGGGTCGCAGACAGTAGATCCAAGGGCTTGGGAAGGGGGTACTTCTTTGTGAATCAATTATGAAATATTTTTTGTCTGACACTCTTCAGAGTTTAAAACGTCAGAACATAGACCGAAAACTCTATTTGATCAACTGATTGGTCAACCTCAATAGTCATGTGCTCGTGTTTCTGATTGGCCTATTTCGATCCACAACTGGGTATATATATTTCTTAGCGTAGAGTTTTCGGTCTATGTTCTGACGTTTTAATCTCTGAAGAGTGTCAGACGAAAAGCTTTAGTTTACTAAATGTTTGCCTTTTTCCGAAATATTTTTCCGAATCAGTGATGAAATATGTGTGGCTTTAACTAGGCTTAGTTACCCCCCCCCTCCGAGTGCAAGGGTCTGTGGTTTGAGTCCATGCCATATCCGACTTATGTTCGATGTGAGGAGAGTTGCCAGCCACAGTAAGTAAAGGTACAGGTATCATGAGGTGTGGTTAAATTGAGAGAATGGACCAGGAAACTTCCCGAAGCACACTGCTGAAAAGCCACAGCTTCTACATGTCCTAAAAACTACCCTCAGCAGCAAGGAAGTTAAAGAAATACAAAAAGAATACAAAAACTGCAACTGGATAATTGAAATTACAAATGCAGAAATAGAGATACTAATTTAAAAAGAGTTTACCTCTTGCATTCAGGGCTCAGCTGTGCTTTTGCTTGATTAAATGGCTCAACAAGAGACCTGTCATACTGGGAAGGAGAGTGTGCAGTGAAATAATAAAACTGTGCTGCATCCAAATAGCCTTTGCATACTTTGCCATGGTAACGATGACAAGAAGCCTTTCGCCTTGAAAAAATTGAAATGTTTTCAAGTTGGCTTCAAAAAGCAAAAATTCTGTACCAGTTCTGTTCTGTATAATTTGTTATCTAGTACTTCATAGTAAATGTTATTCTAAAAATTTTACATTAGGAAGAAAGCATGTTTCTGATTTACCATGTTCCAATATCAGCGATAGGCTTTATACATCATGTTATATGAAATTAAAGACTGTTTCATTTGAATTATGGCTTTATTGAAGTCATATCTGCATCATAAAGGGTTATTATATAAAGTAGGACTGCACAGTAAAATGTTAGTCTGTGGAAGGGTGAGTATGAATACCAAATGTTACAGGGAAAAGCTAAAGTTTTTAAAAGTTAGTTTAAATTTTACAATATTGTTGATAAGGCTAAATCAGATTTAAACAGGAGTTCCTAGAGTTATTTCATCTTACAGGCATTCAAATTCTTATTCAGTTTAAATCAAAATATTCACCAAATAAAATTTTTAAACAAAAGATTAGTAACTCCAATATATAATAAAGCTATAAATTTTGTTTACCTTTTAACTCTTATAAGTTCTGGCAGGGCTGTATCGTTTATTAATGAGCTGTTTTGAGAAGCAACCAGAATTTAATTAGATTATTGTAAACATATGTTTTTGCCATTTTAAGAATAGATTATTTGTAATAGCATTTATGATTAATTCTTTTAAAAATTATAAGTGTTGTGGGCAACTCTTATATACTAATTTGAGAGCTGCCTAAAACAAGAATAACTACCATTTGGAAGACTTTTAACAACATTACAGTGCTTATTAAATGGTTAAACTGAATGAATCACCAAATCCTTGAGTTGCCTCACCCTTTTATAAGGCCCAGCATTGCATATACAGAAATTTTCTAAATACATGGCTTTTGCCTAAATGATGACCAATTAAACAACAAAAATGAAGAACTGAAATAAGCAAAGTATTATCCCAATGTTTTTGTTGTCATCAGCATATTGCAGAGCTTTTTTCTTGGTAATGTGAACTTGAAAACTTCCTCAGACTTCTAATATGAACCCCACCTTTGTTTAAGCCACCCCCTTGAATGAGCCCCATCAAAAAACATATCCAACTAACGAGTCCATACAGGGTCAATTCAAAGATTTTGGTAAGGCTATGTTGTTCTTGATACCAATCATGTTTGCTAAATTCTCAAAAAAACATTAAGAGCCCATTCAAATATGATCAGATCCAATGGATCCACACCTAAGTAGATCACATTTTGATTTTGAAATTATGCCAGGCTACCATGGAATTGTGATTTACAGTTCCTTTGTAGTTAGATGGATTGTAAGATGATGGCTGAGAAATAGCAAAAAAGAATTGGATAAGTTTCACATAAGATGGTTGCATACCTGTTAGCCACAAAGTGGTCCAAACCAGATCCTGATTTTGCAACTATAAATGATGAAAAAAATATAATATTCGTAATGAAAAAATATATTATTTGAAAAGCAGGAACAAACAGAGACATATAAAACAGAAACTAATTAGGCATTTCAACTTTTAAATTCCTGAGCAACAAACATTTTGATGCAAAACAAAATACATAAATGTTGAAAAAGCTTCCCGCAAAGAAAATTGCTCATTTTCTATTTTTACAGCATCAGTTATGATCATCCAAATAACAAATAAATTACTAATCATAAATCCTGCTTTCAAAATGTTCTAATTATTTTCATAAGTAGAAAGGTGTTAGAGTTTACGTTTTGAGCTGACAGCTGTCATAACATTGTTCTGGTATCTTTTACAAGCCTTTCTTAAATATTTAACTTACTTAGCAAAGCTTGAGTATAATATCCACTTAGCATTTTAATAAGCATTTTGGAGAACAATTATTTGCCTTAAAAACTCATACACTCCTTGCAACTTAGATGAGATGTCCAAAATCCTATCTAGATGATGCAATCAAGCAAACAATATGAAAAGATTTCATCGCATATAAAGATACGTTGAAAATTGATGAGAAGAAAAACTATATACATTTTTAATTCTTGTATTCACAAAGGTGGTGGGATTTTGATCTTAGGATAACAGATTTCTGTAGACTAGTTGCATAATTGAAAAAGCATTTATGTTAAAACAGCTGTGTAAATACTTCCAATATGTTCAAACTTAGAAAAGATATTTATATCAGACAGTCTAATTATTTGACAAAACCAGACACTTCTCGTAGAAACTTTATTAAATATAGATGACCTTATGATAATTCAATTTGAGTAGCACTTGACATTCATAAAAAATGCTATATGATATTTTTGCTACCCATAGTGAGATATTAACTGAAAGAAGTATTTTAAAGATATTGTTTTTAAATTTGTTTTTTTTGGCAGACCTTGCATATAGAGTTCTTAAAGCATTCCTTTATTTATAACAGAGGCAGATCCAGAGTGAGTTCCTTGGTGCACAGAACTCAGTCAGTTTTCCAACATATAGTTAAAAATAGTGTTGCCTGAAACAAGTAACCTAGAAATTATAAGTTTTATCGCAGTCTCTTCAAAATCTTAAAATTATTAGTCTGATGTAATCCGTTCTCCCTTTTCCTTCCTTCTTCTCTGTCCAACGTGATTTGGAAGCGACTTTCCAGACGCTGTGCAGGACAACAGCAGTCAATCCTAGAACTCGGAAAAAACATGCCTTGAAAGCGAATGAATTGAAACAATCTTTGTTTGGAACACGGATGGAACTCAGTCAAAACAGCATCTGGAACTCGGAAATGATACCATATTTGCAAGAGATTTGTACAACAGCCAGTGAATGATTGGCTACCTTTTGATTCTGTTCTGTTTGGGAACTGCCAAACAATGAATTCGAAATAGCGACTGCAGATGTCTCATTTTCGCGACCCTCACAGCATTCTCGCAGAATATTAAGAGTTTGAGATAAAACTAGGAAATATCATTGATTTTCCAGGATTATCAACTACTTTTTCGTTAAATTGCAGTCTTTGATGGCACGGAGGACCTATGCTCAGACGGAACGCCATATTTTGATGAATAAGCTGGTGTCTACAGAGGCAAAACAACAAATTTCAAGCAAAACAAAAAGGGAAAAACTTTGCTGTGGCATCCAAGACAAACAAAAGGGTATTGAGAAAGGGAGGGGGTTGCAAAAAATTTCACAGAGGCACTGCTCTTTATCGGAAAGAAATCTAGAATCCAGAGTTAGTGAGTAGATAGCACCTACCCCTCCCCCTCAATGGTACCAAAATGCATGAACATGATTATCAATACACTATCTGAAAGTCCCTAGCCTTGGCCTGGAACTCAGTGAGGTTTTTTGCTGGATCTGCCCTTGTATAAAACCTTTTGTGTGTTGAAAAATTTGCTGTTAGGGGGCTGAATCATAAAGAGTTATGATTTAATTCTTAAATTTATCAAATAGAATGGATAGCTGGATAGTATATTTGCTGGCTCCGTGGGTTGCTGACTCGAGGGTTGTATAGTTTCAGGTGTTAGATAGTTTTTAGGGTTAGCTGGCTTCTGGGGATGATATTGTAGGGGCTGTAGCTTCATCCTTGCAGAATTGGGCAGTTGTGTTACATTTTTGTCTTATTCAATAACAGAATTAACTGAATGCCAGAAAAAAGTGGCAAATAAACAGGAAGTGATATCTACTTGATTAGCCAAGCTACTGGGAGAGCTGGCCAAAAATAATTAACTTTTGCAAATAATTTTCCTTAATCATATGATTAAATTCATTCTCACACAACTTTACTGAATTTCTTATAATAGTTTAATTGAGTGAACTATCTTAATTAAATTGATTAATAAATTCATTTAATTTCATTAAATCTAGTTACCGGATTTGTTATTATCTATTGTATGTAGATAGCATTTTAATGTCAAACTGAAAGTGAAGAAGAGTGAAGTAGTATATTTGTTCTCAATGTTTGAAACAATTGCTAATTTCTCATTTCATTGCATGATTCATTAGACACATTTTAAACAATTTTTTATACACACAACAAACAAAGGAAAAATGGAAAGCTCCAAATATGGCTTGTATAATATTTTTGGATAAAATTATATTCATTGGAAAAGATCTTTGATTGGTCAATTAATAATTTGTCATGATTGTCAAACATGCAAATGAAGTAGATGGATCTTGTTGTGGTTTGAAAATGTCATGATAGGAAAAGCCATTTAAAAAATACCTAGACAAACTGAATTAAAAATCAATGTGCTAGTGTAAATCTTTACATTTAAGAAAATGGTAAACTTAGATACTAGATTGAAGTTATTATGCTTTCATAAAATGTACAAAAAGCCTTCCCTTTTTAAAAATCTCACTGACTGTGAATAAGAAGAATGAAACAGCTTTTTATGTTTCTTTGATAATTAGAATATACATCACAGACTTTTAGTTTCTTGTTATGGTGATGGAAAATTATACTGATGATGATAAATTTCAATCACTTATATTAAAGATACAAGAAACAGGCCTAAGAGTGTGCAGATGTTTTTCGGATCAATCAATATACTTCCCTGTTGTACACCTGCCTTCAAAACAAAACACTTTTATGCTTAACATAAAAAGGCCTTTTCAAATAAACAGTCCAATGACATAGAAAGATACTTGAAAGTTGCTATAGAGATATGCTTTAAAACAGTTCAGCAATTAAGGTAGATACTTTCATGGCGTAGGCAGTTATTGAGATTCAATATATATACAGATATAGAAAAAGCTTTGTAGTGGAGTATCTACATGGCTTGGCAAAAGTTAACACTTCAAAATTTTATGTTAACAATAAAAAATGGCTGAGAGTTTTTGCTTAAATAATTTAGAAAACTCTAATTAATTTCACTTTTAACACTTCACTGTTTCTTCAACTTTCATAAAGAAAAGTTGGTAAAAGAAGAGTTTCCTAAACAGAACACTAAACACAATACAAATTTTGATGTTGTAGAAGAAGATTCATTACTTGCTAGTGATGATTAAAGAAAACACCCAATAAGGCTGTTCAAATTGATCACTACCCAGGTTTGTTCTTGATGCATAAGAATACTGAGAGTTGTTGCTTCAAGCGTTTTAGAGACAATTAAACAGCTGTTAGCGGAAGTTTTGTGTCATATGGGTGTCAGTAAATGAGAGAGGGTTCTGCTCCTAAATAATTCTCTAACACTGTTTAATTACGCCTGTAACCGAGTTTTGAAGGGCAGTTCCGACAGCCCTTAAGCAAAATAAACGAACGAATAACCTATATAATTAACCTGACAATCAAATTCCTGTTGGCTGAAGAGCATTGACTGATATCTATAAGCCATTGATTTTGCCTTCAAGCATCCGTGACAATCGCAAACCCCTACTGCCCAAAAAGTTCTTCTTTCCTGTTGGTTTTATCAAAACTACTTCAAATAAAGTAAAAATACTTACTTTTCATTGGTCTTTCCACTTCTCCTCTTATAAAGAGTTTCGGATTATACTTCGATCTTCTGGCTGAAATTCTTTCACAACGATGTGGCTCCCCCTTCAGACAATCGACTCGAAAACAACTATGTTTCAACATAAGAGCCATTTTGCAATCCCTCTCGCGACAACACATATCAACACAATCATCAAATATATCTACACGTCCAAGTTTGATATAAGTCCCTGCTTTTGAGCCACCCTTCAATGCATAATCTTCGAAATATTCGCCTCTCCTGCAAAGTTCATATTCTGTTAGTGAACCAGCGTTGACTAGGCCCAATCCTGGCGGCCGCAGTAGCATTACTACTATGATCAAATTCATAAACGAAATATTAAATACAAGTCGCATTTTTGAAGACGAATTCGGGCTTCTCAGCTTCTTTAGTTGTTTGCATGTACAACATGATCTTTTTCCCGAAGAAACATCGCGGTTTTCGAGGAATACGTAGAGTTTATCCAGTGACATCTCCTTTCCGTACCTTTCCTCTATCTCTACAAGTGAGTTATCAACAATCCAATACTCTATGTAACACAGCGCCTGTGAAATATGGCGTTATGATTGAGATTCAGGAATCAATTTCCTGACATACAAATCTAAATAAATCCCATTTTGCGATTTCTCTTCGTCATTTGAAAACTAGACATATTTTACAAATCGCCATTTTGTATTTGGAAGTGTTCCTTTCACAATGTTTGCTTCTCCAAGTCACAGGTACGTATGATCAGTTGACCGTGGCATCATGGTGGTTTATTATGCTAAATTTGTCATGGCCCCTGTAATGAATTGGCAATGTGCCATTGTTTCAAGCACGTCTGAAAGAAGCTAAGCTAATTCTCGAAAATTAATGTGCAAATTCACAATTAGAAATGAGAAACAAATGCAATAGAATTCCCCCTTTTTATCACAGGTGAAAGACTATACTGTTTAGGCGTCAATCAATGCTGTACAAAATGGTAGCTAGCACCTGCAAATATAACCATTGAAAAAACTTTGCGATATCTACCTCCAGATTCTTCGTTACCAACAAACAAGCAATGGGCTAGAAATATTTTTGTTATCTTTCCACGCAGAGTCTCACAATCACATAAAAGAAATGTCTGCACAACAAAGTATGTCACATTTTGTGTGACAAATTTTCAATGACAGAAGAGAATAGATGAAGAATTCGACTAATGTCATTTTGTTAATATCTCTTGATGATGACGAATTGTCAGAAAGTCAGCATTTGAATTGGTAAAACGTTAATTGAAAGTGAAAAATAATTGTGGATCTTGGAATGATATGATAACTAATATGAAATAAGTATTTTTAATATTAAACAGACACAAATCTTCAGCGTTAACTGAAATTTCTGGAAATATCCAATGGTGATAAGCTGATGGCAAGTTAGAATTGCATGCATATAAGCACTGCTGTAAGAAAACGCAGAGAAAAAGAAAAAGAGACAACGCAAATCTTTATATGATATTTTCTTATAAAAAGATAATTACACGATATTAAAGCAATAAGAGCGACAATTATTTTCTAAGCCTTAACACAAAAATATAGATCAAGTCAAAAGCCGGCAGATAAAATGTAGGGGGGGGGGGGGGGTTATGACAAAACGGCTCAATTTCGTTAAAGTATGAGTCTTATTTTCTCAATATTATGTGTATAAGTCAAACTGTTGCATCCTTATAATTATTATGTATAAAGCCGTTAGCATTTATGAGTATACTGCTCATACATTTGTTTAGCCAATTTAAAGGAACTGTGGGAGAGATGAGGGCATATCTTTGGCCGAATCTCAATGGATGGGTCCACCCATTCCGGTTTGCGGGAAAGAACACGTATGGTACTCATCAAAGTAGGTGTAGTTATGGTTAGCTGTGGTTCGTTTGCTATTTTGTTGTGGAGTAAAGCTGTGTAGAATACTTTTCACCGAAGGCGTGGTTTTTTGATACCATAACGGTTATCTTATGTAATTTCATAATCTAGAAGACGTGAACCAAAGAGGCCAGCGACTATCAAGAAAATGGAGTCAAAATATCTCTGCTAGCTGGGTACTGTATCACCACGGCTAGGTGACTTGAACAAAGCGGTTTGCGAAGGTTAAATAAATTACGTTGGTTATCTTCAATTGCCAAATTTACTTTCCTCGTTTCAATAAACATTTCTTCATAAAGGGAGCCTCCTACGTCGAAAGAGGCGTCAATTCACAACGAGGCTATCTAAGGCATCACCTTTATATACAGCTTCTCAACTTTAAAAAATAACAAAACTGCCCTGGAGTTTGGCCAACTAAAGACTAAACCTTGGTATTGAAACTGTCGATACCATGCAACTGCCGTATTTCAGACAAAAGCAAGATGTTACAGAAAACCACAAAAGTTATACGGTGATTGAACATTCATTGAACAGCCGATAGGACTAAAAGAATTCAAACAAAAATCTATGATCTGTTTTGGCGTTTTGCAAGCTGAGAAATTGTTTGAGTAACTTCGCATATTACATAAAGAAAATGTGCGTATTTACAACAGTTTAATGCTTAATGGATCAGCCCGGCTGTTAGATTAACGTGCTTGATTTTACGATTCAAAAACCCTTCTTTGTGACCATTCACCAGTTTCTTGTTTCTTTACTCAGTACCTTGACATGGGCGTCCTATACCTTGTATGAGAGGCTAAAAAACAAGAAAAGAGGTTAAAGTTCATGTAAGCAGAGTGAAACAAAAAATACATTCTTTATGTTAGTTTGTTTGTCACATTTCCAATTTGAGAAAGATGTGCAATTCAGGTACAGATACGGGTTTTTAAAAGAGCTGAAATCATCACGACTAGAAGCCGTGCAATGATTTATTTATGACCATTTATTTATTTAAGAATTGTTAATCTATTTTCAATTTCTTTTACGTAAAATGTTTTTTACTTTTTATACAATATGAATCGGCTACAACAAACGAGAGTTCTCGTAGACCAGCACAGCAGTGCAGTTGTTTACATATCGTTTAAAGACATTCACACTGCTTGGTGACCCTTTAACTTTATCGTTAGAAACGTTACATGCTCTTTAGAAAATTCAACTCGCAATATTGCAAAATGGAGCAAAATTCACTGACGGCAGTTTTATCTTTGTTGTCAGTCTACATTTGATTAGCACAAACAAAGGTCTTTATAACTTTTTGTCAAAGATATGATGCAACAAATAGAATTCTATTAAGCAACGAAGTAGAATCTTATGTTGCCTGGCGACAGTTTTTTAAGTAGAATATTTTGACGTAGCTTTTGCAAGCACCTTATGCAGTTGAGAATTTTTCCTCAATGCCAATTAAAATGAAGCAAATATAACATCATCTGCAGTGCAAATTTTTATCTTAAATATGAACCATAACCGATGCATATTCAGAAATTTCATGTGCATACTCGAGCCGTTTTGAACATATCTGATGGTGCCGCCTTATAAAAACCATGGCTACGAATACTGGAAGCAAGAACTCCTATATCTACGCGAATAAATTGCCAAGACATTATAATTCCATAACATATGAACTCTTGTGCACGAAAATATAAAGGCTTTAATATGATCGGAAAATATAAATCTCCCAGCTCACGCCGGCAGAGTGACGTAACATCTTATTGTTTTGATCAACTTACGTCTGGTAACGAGGTCATCGACAGATTCTTCTTCTTCGTCTAAGAGCCTTCCTTTATGACTTTTTAATTTTTGCCTATCAACACAAGATATCAAATTTAGATAAAACTTAGCCAAGTGTAGAATTCAATCAACATTAACATGTATACAGCCAGTATGAGAATGTAAAGCGCAATTATCACAGTGATGTGCTTTAGGCTTGACAGTCCTTTGGACTTGAATATATATGTGATTCCTCAAGGAATGAAACACAGCACCTTAGAGCGAAGGATGCACTTAGGCCATCATGTAGAGAGTGTTCTTAACTGAATCTTTTAAGCATTTTTCGTCTAAAAACACCTGTTCCATATAAATACTAGATTACTAGCTTTTAAAACTGTTGGTGCTCTTTAGATATCCTTCATGATAGACAAATGCCTGCAAATAATTTATAATCTAAAGGCTGCAAACAGAGCTGTCTGTGAAATATTTTAGAAGTCTACATTGCTTTCAACATTTGACGCAAAAACAATCGTTTTTCTTTTCACTGTGAAAACTTTTCTTCCTATGATGTTTCTGGAGAGACCATTATGGAGACAAGGTCATATTTACCTTTTAATGCTATCATTGCCATTTCAACTGGGACTTTTATCATTGCTATATTAGATCTTGTAGCTTTTAGATTTGTATATTATCGAAACATCTTATTTCACATTAACATACAAACATAAATACAGGGACATTCTTTATATTATAGTTGAAAAATTACTGAAATACAAATATGGATTATAAAGAAAGTGGTGAATGGAATCTGCTACAGCGAATACTCAATATCACGAATATGTCAGTAATTGAATAGCTCGTATATCAACGGGTCTTATTAGCTTAAATGGCTAAATGACTAGCTTCACCAGCTTACTTACCTCTTTGTGAAAACGAACGCCATCCAAATGAGGCCACCAGTTATAGCAACGAATGCCAATGAGCCAGCAATGATGTACAGAACGAAGAAATCTGCCGCAATATAAAACAGGTTATAAAGCAACGTATCAAAGATTTCAAGAAATATTTTTTATAGTGAGAATATTGTTTGCGATAGAAATTCCTGAGAAAGGACTTTTTAGATTTATGTATGACTCTGTTCATATCGTGCAAAATAAGTGTAATGAATGAAAATTTATTCATCTTTGAAGAATTTAAGTTTTTCATTATCATTGATAAACTGAATAACTTAAAGGTGTGAGACAGAAATTTATTAATTCATTTTGGAAACTCAAAGTTTTTATGGATCCCTTAGTCGATGTAAATTTCACAGAAGCCTTCCCTATTTAAGCAGTTTGTCGTATCTTTTCGACAGGCATCGATTTGGTAGCAACCTGCAGTGACTCATTTATGCTGTTTTTCAACACCAGAAGAAGAAAAATGACTACCTATTAAGGTTTTTTTGAGACTATATTTTCTAAGTTCAGCAGCTAAGATTTCCACAAGGAAATTCTCACGTATTATCACATTGTACGACTGAGGTTCATTTCTGATAAATATCTAGCAGCTTAATGAACGTGAAACTTTAGCAGGGAAATGAATTTGATGTGAATAGGAACCTCGTTTGTATTCTCCAAGTGCGGCTTTGTTCATATAGGCTAATGCAACTGTATCACCAGCCTTGGCAGGCTCCGCAGTGGCTTGGCATAAACTGCCGTCTGCGCATTGGACCGCAAAGCAGTGTCCGTTCAACATATAGGCGACATCACATTCAGGCCTGTCGCAACATGATGATACACACTTCTTCATATCAACCATTCTGCCAACCTCTTTAAAAACTCCAGCCCGCGTTCCACCTTTTAGAGTGACATTATGGGCGATTTCAACGTTGCTGCATGCACCATTATCTGCAGGTTTTTGACCAATCGGCTTTGATTCTTCAGATAGTTCTGGAATTTGAGTTAAATAGAAGGTAAGGTTTCAGCAAAGGACAATACTATATTAACAGAGACAAAATAACTGCATATAATAAACGTTTCCTTTGCTTTCTTCAATTTCAATTTCACATTGATATCCATCAGACATGATGAAAAAAATCAAATGAAACTATTCCGATAAAGATCGATTTAACTTTTCCAGAAAGACATCTGGGTTTGTGGCATCTAGCAGTGGTATTTGCTTTGTTGTCAATTTCTGATTAAAAAAGATTAGGCAATAAGAAGAATCTACATCTTTAGTTATAAAGATCTGTATGATGGTCTTACCAATTCCTTGGTCATTTTCAATATCACTTCCTTCCTCGGCTTTATTTATAAAATGATCCATGTAAGCAATGACGGGGGCTTGGTCATTCGGCTGCTTGTCTACTGCCATACACGATCCCTTTTTGAAGCATGATATTGTATAACATTTCCCCCCTTCCATGTACGCAACATCACAATTTGCATTCAACGCACAACATTTTGAGATGCAAGTGTTTATATTTTTAATGTTTTTAAAATATCTGAATTTTCCGGCCTTCTTGCCTCCTTTCAGTGATTTTCCTTTCACCGGAGGCTTGCTCGAACAAGACTTTTCGCCTTTGCTAACAGGCTTTGCTTTAGACGCATCAACAGCTTTTTCTTCCGATTTTTCTGCGGGTTTTTGCGTCGATTCTGCGGGTTTCTTCTCAACTGGCACCTTCTCTTTCTTATCATCTATTGTTTTCTCTTCAGGTTGTGGCATTTGATTCAATTTATCTTTAAAAAGGCAACAAAACAATAAAAAGTTGAGACCGATAACGAACACAGAATAATATTTAAACCAGTACTAATTCTTTCAGCGTAGAGCACTTTATTAACCAGGAGAAGTACGGCCATGTTTAATGCCTCGTCTATGTAAAATTAGGGTTCTTGTAGAAGCAAACAATGTCAAAGGATAATAAGCAATAGGAGCAGGCGAAAAAAATTACCACAAACAGTGCTTACCTATCTTTGCCAGTCCACTAAAAGCAGGAATAGGTTCCCTCACCATGGCAACCTGTGGGTGAAACGAGCTTGCTGGTGCAGGGATTGTCGCACACAATTCTTTGACTTTGCACGTTACTGCATAGCACGTTTTTGACAGCATGAAAGCGAGATTGCATTTTTTGTCTTTAGCCTCGCAACACTTGGCAATGCAATCTTGCATATCCTTAACGTGAGTTATTTCCTTAAACTCTCCAGCTTTACGGCCACCTTTAAGAGTAACATTGTGCGCAATAGGGCCCGGCTTGCAGTCGCCACTTGATTCTGCGGGAGCTTCTCCTGGCAGGCTTCCCTCTTTCTCTTCTTCACCCTTGTCTTCCCCGAGTTTTGCGAGCTTGGTTGTTATGTCTTCTTTCACTTCCGTCGCGGGTTTTTTTGGAGTGGCATTCTTTGGTGGGGCATCACCCAGATTGCCAATGACGATCTGAACAGGCTTTCGAAGCTGTTCTCTGAATTTCTCTAAACAAGGACATCAATAGAATTTAGCAAAGAAGAGAAAAAATATGTCATAGATTTACCTTCAATTCTGTTTATTTACCATTATGCACAAGAAGACTTCGCTGAACAAAGCTGATACAGTTTCATACAGTCTCAACCTTAATTTCTCATTCTAATCATTAATAACTAAGATTATTATAATTATCAAACGATCTTGAACCTTATTTTCTATTTTTCATCTTGAATGGTAATTGTCACTATATATATAATGTGTGTTGCTCTGCGCAAAAATTGCTACGGATTAAGATATCGCCGTATTATGAGCAAAATGAAAGCTACATTGAGTATTAGACGATCCGAGAAAGGGAATAATGCCTGCAAGACAAAATAAATCTAACGAAACTAGATCTTCGCCATTAATCATGATTCTACGGTTATCAAAAGAAATAAAAAATAAAGTGTTCAGCAATGTTTGAGAGATTAAAGACCAATTACAAACCTTTTACAGATTCAATTTGGGATTTGAGACTATTTTTCTTATTTTCGGGTTTCAGCAGCTCATTTGAACCAACTTTACGAACATAAGATATCTAGAAGGAACATATGTTATAAACGTAAATAGTGTTAAATTAGAAATGATGTAAGGCATAAATCAGAATATTTTAAAATAACGAATGGAAATTGAACTTTGCCAACCTAAAGCAGTGTTTGGCGAGTAAAGCAGATGATACTGGATATGGAAAAAGACACCACAGCAGTCAAAAACAACGTCGGGTAAAAATATGATTGATCCGGAAAGCGTAAAAAGCCCATACGCAACCAATACTCTCCAAAAAGTTGATTAAATATTTGCAAGGAAGAGAGCTAAATATTTATTAAAAGCCAACTTCATAAAAAAGGAAAGTTAGATGAAAAAATAGCCATATACCTTGGGTAGAAAATTTGAAGGTTTCGCGGACTGTGCTCGACAAGCGTCAACATCATGACATTTAACTGAGAAACAGTTCTTGCCAAGCATGAATGCCAAATGGCATTGGGTCATTTCGCAACATATTCGCCTACATTTGTCCATGTCATCAACTTGACCATTGTCATGAAACTCGCCAGCGTCAACGCCACCTTTTAGCGTCACATTATTTATAACTTTGGTTTTTGGACATTCACTCGGGGCTTGTCCTTTTTTCAGTGTATTTGCTAAAGCAAAGAGCGAAGCATGATGCATCATATGAAATAACACTGACACGTCTCAACATAACAAATATTTTTGTAATTTCCTTTTATTCAGTATGAAGAAAGGCCATATAGAGAATAAACAGACCGAGGCATTGTCTCGAATTAGAGAAGCCTTCTGCGTCCTTTTATTGTTCTCTAAGAGCTAAAAGAATTATGAGATTTGTAGCAAATGCTTGTAGTGCTTCACCTTATAGCTTTGAAAAGTTCTAACTGTTCCAAAAAGTAGCTTGGATTTTATTATTGAGTTTAATTTAGCTGAAGGTCCAAGTGATAAAAAACAGAGAGCTTTGGGAATAAATTGCAAACTTACCTTTCTCTGAGGCTGGTGCTGGGCTCATCTCAGGCCCCTTATCTCGAGACGTGACGTAAGCAATTTGCGGATTGAATATCGAAGGTTGGGCAGGAACAGTTGTGCAGAGTTTCTTGTCTTTACACTGGACACTGAAGCAGTTTTGTGCAAGCATAAAAGCCAGATCACAGTTTTCTTGCTGACAACAGATATTGTAGCATTGCTCTAAGTCATTCACTTTTCCGACATCGGTGAAATCACCAACTTGGAGTCCACCTTTTAGTGTCACTTTATCTAAGGCTTTCATTGGAGGACAGGTATGCTTAACAGAACTTTTTTCTTGAAGTTGAACTGAAAGGAATAAATCAAACGTCATCAATAACTGAGCAATTAAACCATTGAAAAGGAGCTTCAAAAAATGGCGACTTTCAAGCCAAACAAGACAGGCATTAGAACATTGCAACTGAGCCAGTGACGATTTAAGGCTTCCAGGAATTTTTGCTTTATAAATAATTCTGATAAATTCATTTTTTTCATTTATTTTGGCTTATGTCTTGTCATCACAAAGCTGTTTCTCCCTACAGTCACTTAATAAGTATAACTAATAAAACCTGATTTTAAATATATTTAGTCAGCAGGCTGTTTATTACATGGGGAAAATTCATTTTAGCCTAGCCTACCTGTGTGCTTTACGCCTTCGCTGTTCCATCTTGTGACGTAGGAAACACTTGGATGAAAGCTCGATTTCTTTGCAGGTTGCAGTTCACAACTTTTATGATCTGCACAACCGACCAGATAGCAACTAGAAGCTAAAGTGAATGCGAGGTCGCAAGCGGGAAATTCACAACATTTCTTTTGACATTCCTCCATTGTGGATACACCGCCAACATCTTTATATGTGCCTGCATGGATGCCTCCTTTTAGTGTAACCTCTTTATAAATTGGACTCGGTCGACATTGGCCCGCCATGTTCATGTCAGTTGCATTAGCTACGAGGAAAATAAAATCATTGACGTCTCCTTGTTTTTCTAAACTTTTTTCGTATTTACATATATCAACATGTTTTAGTCCACTTTGAAAATAACTGCATTGGTTTTGCAGCTAAAGAGACGATTTTCCAAGAAATTGATGACCTGAAAAAAAGAAAGCAATGTTAGGTCGATATCATTTATAGATAGGTGCTTTTGGCCAGACTTCAGTCTAACTTCAATTTAGTAAAACTAATTACATATTATGGTGGATGGCCTCCATGATTAGTCAGTTCGAAAAGAGTCCTTTCGTTGAGTTTTGCACACTCAAACACAACATCTTTAGACATAATCGACAGATTTGGTTTGTGCAGATCTTTCGTTATTGAAGCCGGTATAGGAAGTCTCGCGATGAAGCCAAGCTGCGCTCAGCAAAAGAGTCCATGGGACGTACAAACATACGTGTAATTTCAGATGTTCAAGATAATTGGTGAAGATGCATGTTGTGACATAGTTCACAATTTAAGAAAGGCCTGAGGAAATAATCTAATTTCAACTTCTAAAAAAGAATCAAGTATGTCAAGGAAAAGTCTTATTTAATGTTTAAACGAAATTTTTTAAATATTAAAAAGTCTATCAACGTTAATTTTTCAAAGATAATGTTCACTTCTTGAAACTTGGCCTAATTTTTTTAGAATGGAGCACTCGTTTGATAAAGTAGTCAAGTCGAAGTTTAGTCATACTTGTATTTACACTGTCAACTATACTGTCTGATTCTGGTCAGTGGCGTATCAAGGATCTAAACTGTATGCATATTTGAGCAAAGCTCGTAGTCAATAATACCAGTTTGAAATCCTATTATGCTCTCATATTAAAAAATAAAACAATTTCGTGCCCGCAGTGCATTCTCTTCCTCTACCTATTTACATAATTTCTTATCTATTTAAAGTTTGGTATCAACAAAAACAAGCAGAAATGCTGCGAATCCCGGGTTTTTCCTCGCGTTTTCCCAAGAGTGATCTAGAATTTTGACGATGGGTCAGATCATTCGAAATAGGCCACTGACCAGTTGGGAGCGTGGTACGAAAAACCTCGATCCTCACCCGGCCTCTTTCCCGCTCTGACATGCGATATTTCAACAGCAGTGTCCCCAGGTTCAGTTGTTACTGTCTCACAACTATCATCACTGACACATTCGACGCCATAGCAACGGTCTTTGCTTTTGAAGGCAACTCCACAGAGGGGCATCTTGCAACAAAGATCAACGCAAGTTTCCATATTTGGTGTATATCCAAGATGGTGGAATGTTCCTGCCCCGAGTCCTTCTCGAAATTTTGTGTTTTTCTGTACGGGAGTCCATCTGCATAGCCAAGGGTCCTCCTTTGCCTTCGACGACTGGACTATTTACGGGAAAATTACGTAGCCCTTAGCAATAGGGCTTTGCAAGGATCGATACCTTTCACACCTTACAAGGCCATTAAAAAATCACAATATGTCATATGTTTAAAAAAAGGGTCACAAAAAGTCTTCACATGTTTCAACAGTTGCAAACCTGAAATATTTCGAGTTCTTGAAAACAAAGAAAATATCATAATAATCAAAAGGGCAGGGAAAGTCTTGGAAATATATAGATGCATGATAACGCAGAAATTTATGCAGGTAGGCTATGGCCTAAGCCTCAAAGCAGAGTTCTTGTGGCCTATGACGACAGTCTAACTGCACAAGTTTCTCTGGAAAATATTGCAATTTTCTTCAATATTGCAAAAACTTTCATTACTTATCAAATTCTTTAATAGATTTTTTGATAATCACAGGAATATTCTAGGGAATGTAAGTTGAAATTCTTCATAATTTTTCCTTGAATTTACAAACAAATTTGATTTTTCTTTTAAGTCAGAAACTGAGAAAATTTTATTCTGTTCTTATTTTTGATGAGCCATAATATTTGGGTATCCATAACACCAGCATCGAGCATTGTTTTAAAAGATAAAAGATCAAGAACAAAGGCAAAAGAAGAAAATCTCACCTAGTATTAATCCTAAGCTCCAAATGAGCGAAATGATGAAGTAGCACTTAGGCAAGTCTGCTGCCATCTTAAAACCGTGTCAAGCGTAGTATATACTGTGTCAAAAGGTCCTCTATTCCATCAGCTGTTAAGAATTCCTTCCAAGTTTATCCATCATGTTTATTCGTTAACGCTACTCAATTTCGTTAGGCCAGTATTTCCGATTTCTTTCCCTTTATATCAAATCATGGTATTGGTATAAAACCAAAAGGTTACCAAAAAACTGGACGGCCGCCACTGAAAATAGATAATTTGCCATACGCTGTAACATTCGCAATATTACGTCAATAAACCAGAATTCATCAACGGAGAGGCAAGACAATGGAAAGTCACGTGACTAATAGGTTGCTTATTGGGCTAGGTGGTTTTGGGAAGTTGCCACATGCAAAAAGCTGCAGGTAACCGTGACCTGGGTAAATTGGTGATTAACCCTGCGTTTAAACTTTGCAAATCAGAAAAATATTTACAGAAATTCCAGATTAAGAATCTATTTCCCAAGTAATGCCTGACTTGCGGAAAGGAAGATTATTCACCGGACCTGTCTCAGACTATGATACCTAAATGACTGCAAAAGCTTAGGGCAGTATCTAGAGGTTAGGCTCACATGTTCTCTTGCACCACGAGCATCAAAGTGATAGACATTCGTTTTTTGATATTTGAAACTGCAAACTCGCACTCAGCTATCACCATCTCTATGGATATCACAAACTTTGGATTTTCAATGAAACAACTAGCTGCAGCAAAATGGCTTCCTCTTTTGTGGTCTTTCCGCTGCTTACAAATCAAAGTCTCTCAAGCTTAAATAAACTGGAAATGAAATCTTTTACAATCAAATCTAGAGCAATATTTTTAGTATAAAAAACAAGATTTTCAACAAAGACTCCAGTGCAGCATAACTGGCATGACATGCAGGGTGCCTTTCACGAAGCATTTTACAGAACTCCACAAATCTAAAAACAATCAAAAGAAATGCTTTTTAAGCTTGCTTCTTTCAGATATGACAACTATTATCTTTTCCAAATCACCAGAAAAAGCATCTGATTTCAAAGAAAAATATAATGTCAAAATGGCTCTTATACGCATATTCAGTTTTATGGGTTCGTAAGAAATGCAAAGTTTCTTTAGGCGAATGTCAAATAAGTGGAATGACACCAAATACGAATCTAATGCAGACGGATTCAACTTATGCGAAGTTCTATGAGTTTTTGAACAATATCCAACTTGATTAATTTTACTGTTTTAGTGACTGAGAGCAGGAAAGTAGTGGAAAAGAATGGCAAATGATACTCACCAACAAGACTGCAAAGGCATTTCGAATTGATTCTGTAGACCTAGAAAGGATGGGCTGAGAGATTCATGTTGTGTTTATGTTGCAATTTTGTTAAGCTTATCGTACTTAAGTGTTTGGAACAGGACATTTTGAGTTGCAACTCTGAGTTTTGTGCTTAATGTGACCATCAGGCAAGTGTATGGCATTATCATAAAGGTGTTTTATAATATATGGATACCATATAATGAAATCTAGGCAAATCTCTTTTCCCATTATTCTTTGGACATGATAACTTAACAAATGAATCATTGATTAGGAGATATGCAGCAAGGGAGAGGAAGGGTAATGGACCCAGACTACAGAGCCGCTGTTCTGAGACCTGCAGATGGCGGTATCATTTTAAGTGTATGCATTTGCCAAACGAACAAGTTTCTAAAGATAAATCGAGTGTATCATCAAATGGCACAATAGCATGCCACTTAAAGTCCAATATATCCAGCAGTGTAAACAAACAAGATAATCCCTCAACAAACAAAAACAACAACTTTAAGTGTAGAAGAAGACTTCATGAGTATAGAGTTACCTAAAATATCAGTGAACCAAGATAAAGGTTTAAAAAATGATACAAAAATGATAAAGTTAAATTGATACATAAAAATTGATAGGTCGTGTCAGTCGTGTTCTTTCATGTCTTGGAAAGCATACAAATATTTTTGAAAGAGATTTATCTTAAAATATTGAATTATTCCGAAACAAAAATCAAAACTTTCTAGAAGATGGCTGTGAATAAGAATTCATCTTTCATGGCCAATCTTGCACTTAAACTAGAAAAAGATGTTTGGAAACGATTATAGCCAGTTGTGTTTGTAGCCAAAGAAAACTTCTGAATCTTGTAATGCCTTTGTCAAAATGTATTTCTTTGCCTTGACGTAGAACGAAACAAATACTACTAATAAAGACAATCTAATGAGTAGAAACTAAAGGTTTTGGTCATTATTAAGATTGGGTCTTGCAAGGTGTATCATCCTTTTAATCTTTGAAACCTTACAAGCTAGAAGCCTTTGTTCATTGAGAAATGTCATTGTTTTCTATCAAGGTCCTAAGAACGTCATTAAATACAAAAATATAAAAAATCATATAAACATTTTGAAACAAAGTTTCTGCATCCAGTTTGCTTTTGTGAGCAGATTTTTACAAATTTCGAACATTATTACAAAAAATGCTTTGTTTAAAATATCAATTTTATAGGATTTGTTATGGAAATTTAAATCTATTTACTGCATTTCGTAAGATTTCTTCTGATGAGAGGCTAGTATTTTTAGTAGGGTTTATTCAATTCACTTTAAAAAAATCTCTTAAAAAGTTGAATTAGCTACACATTTTGTTTTTCAGTTTATGAGACAAAAAAAATTGGCGACAGATAGATTGCATTTATACGTTTATCAAAAATAGAGGCATTTGGACTTTTGCATATTTCTTTTTTCTAAATACAGCTATTAATGTTACAGATTTTGAAATACAGTGTATTTAGTTGTACAAAAAGAAATACGAGAAATACTGGTTTTTTATTACATAATTTTCTTTGATGTCTAATAAGACATCATTGTTATCGTCTTTCTTTTGGAAAATATAGCACGTTGATACAAAGTACTATTGATACCATATTCTCATTATCATCAACTAAGCGTTAGTTGGGTCGCAAATATTTAATGACATATAATATTGATAACATATGATTCAACTGTAGTAGAATAAATAGCAGTTATGTAACATATACATAAGTTTTTCATTTCCTGTTATTTAATTTAACATGCAGAAATGCATATATTTTAATCATGAATTTATTTTGAATAAATTAGTACATTTAGGATGTTTAGGTATAGAAGCATACTTTTGAAACAAGATTTATATGATATACAAACAAAGATTAGACAACAATGACGATAAACGTAAATAACAGCAATAATCATTTGCTGACATAAAATGTTTTAGTTAGTAAAATATTTTAACCACTTCTAATGTCAGACAAGCTCGTTAATATTTTATGTCTACTATACAACAGATATTTACGGTGTAAATATTTAAAAATTCATTTATTGTTGAATAATATTTATACCACATTATATGATTGTGTTGTTTGATTATCAGTATCTACTCTTCCGAAGAAAATATTGCAATTAAAGGTGTTTCTTCACAGTGTAAAGAATCTTTGTCAAGTCTGTCACTTTTTTGCAAAACCAAAATATCATAAATACACTGCTGCAGTGGTAAATTTACATACGGTGAAGATGCAAACCGGTGATTAATCGATCATTCGTTAGTTTCCTTTCTGGACAATATAAGTTCCAGCTTGGTCCATGGAGGCAAACTTGGCTATTGAGATGCCTTGAGACTTTGGTGCTGAAAGAAATGTTTTTGTTTTACTCTTAATGAAGAAACGATAAAAATGGTCAACTCGTTAGGTAATACACAGCTAAAGTCAAAGAGGAAAACCTAACACAAACACAGAGCTTTGGAAAAAACGAAACCTGATATCAAGTGTCGTAATAATTCCAAAGTTAAAATAAATTAAAAAGTTGATGTTCCGCAAACAACAAGAGATTGCAAGTTTGGTGTGATTTGAGTCAAATTCATTTAACCCTAAATTTGTGAATATATTTTATTTGTAGCAATTTGTGGTGAATGTAAGCAATATTTCTGTTAAGTGTAAAAGTAACTAACATCAAACCTTACATTTTCTAAGAAAAAACACTTGAGAGAGAAAGGTAAACTAAAAATGCCATTCATTACCCATTGATATTTCTCCCCTTTTGACGTAAGCAATCGTTGGGCTCTTTTCGATGATGCTTTTTGGCGCTTCTTTCGGTTGACAAGCATTTTCGTTTGCGCATTCCATGGAATAACACAGTTTTCCGAGCATCAGTGCTACATGACAACGCTTCTCTTCGCAGCACTTATCAATGCACTTAGTCATATCCGTAAGACCTTTCTGTAATTTGACCGTCCCTGATAGCATACCTCGAGCTAGGACCGTCTTATTTCGGATCTCACCATCCACTGTGCATTTTTTATCGGGATGAATTACAGTGCCGTCTGCAAGCAAACGTCAAAAAAGTTAAAAAGAAATGTCCCAAAAGCAGATCCTTGTATGACACACTGAGATTAATTTATCACTTATGCTTTTAATAAATGTTGCTAAAGAAACATCGAAAGCTTATAAAAACATTCAACTAACTACCAATGGCATGGGATGGCTTCAAGGTAGAACGAAAAAGTTATAGCAGCCAAATTAAATTCCTTGCCTGCATTTTTTTTTGTTTATTTGGCCTTGGAGTGCAATTTTGAAAATTCAGAGCATTTTCATGTGTTGTTGATAATAACATCTACAAATTATTAGTTTCTAAAAGTGTAAATTTTGAATGTATAAAAGCTATCAGTGAATGCAAAATATTTCAATTGAATTGGAAACGTGCAAGGCCTTAAATTCAGAAATCCAACAAAAACATCCACTTTAACATGTTTGTGAATTAATAACAGGATAAGATTTCCATCTACTGATACAATAAAGAAGGGTAGATTTATAGAAACATCGTTTTGGAATATTTTAGTGATTAAAAAATCTGAACCTGGTCGCAGCTTCACTCCAAATTTTCGTTTAATGATGTACTGCACTTGTTTGTCGAATTGAATGTCCCTTCTCTCGCCCTGTCCTGTGTACTGTAATTCTTCATCAGGTACCACTCGGCAGCTCTCTTCACTGTAACACTTTACCAGGAAACAGTTTCGCCCAAACATGTAGGCAACATCACAGTCCGGGTTTTCGCAGCAAAGCCTTGTGCAGATATGTGACTTCCCTACCTTGCCAACATCCTTATAATCCCCTGCATCGCCGCCTTTGGCCAACCGGGAACCAGTGTAAAGCTTGGACTGGATGCACTCGACGTGATGAGAAAACAGAGATGATGGCACTTTCACTATTAAAATAAATCAATTTGATAATCATGCTTCTTTTGCTTGAAAACAAGTTTCATAAACTGGGGCATCTGGTTTCTCCTCGGTCTGATAAATATATTGAGCCCCAAGAAGAAGGCTAAGTGAATAAAAATCAAAGCTGCCATAAGTTTAATAACTGAATAATCTAGTCATATTCTGTAAAAAAAGGTTTTAGACGGTCAGGAGTTTTTTTTTGTGAGTAAAGCTTATAGATTCCAACGTCAAACACAAATCTGAAAAAAATTCTACGACCGAATACAGAATAAAACGCAGGCGGTTGGGAAGTCAAAATGTGATAAAATCATTTGCCTTGGGGATAGTCAGTTTCTGAGTCCTCTTGTATGAGTTCATATAATCTAAAAACCCTTGAAAGTTACTACAGCACCGCAAAGCCTTACTTTTCTAGTTAAAATGGCTGATTATTAAGGGCAGAAATGAAGCAATAATGTACCGAACAGTGTCTCTAGGCAGAGAATGTTAAGCAAAAGGTGACAGTCTCAGCATTATCAGACGAGAGCATCTTTGCTAAATGCTTTTTGGTATTCAAAAGCCAAATACTACAGTAATGGGATATGGAGTGTACGTTGAAAATGACGGTGCTCCACTTACCAATCTTTTTCTTTTTGCCAAAAAGCCACGGCGAAACATATGCCATTCTTTGCTTGAATTTGTAGTCTGCTCCCGTAGCAGGCAAGGTTTGACATTTTTCTTCGGTGTAGCATTTAACAAGGAAACATCTGTTTCAAAATAAAGAAAGAGAATATTAAAAAAATAATGCTAAGTTGATAGAAACAGATACTTTGCAATTGCCTTTCCTATTTTTCATTTGTATCTACCTAGCTTCCGAAGGTAGTTTTGAGGACACTGAGAAGCTATGCTTATCGAGCAGTGTCATGGTCCTTCCTCTCGAAGTGGTCACACCCCGTGATTCCTATGCCTGGAATTACAGAGAGCTGGCAACTCCTCTCGCTCTAAGTGAAAGTATGTCATGTCAAGTACTTGAATCTAGGACCATTGGCTCTGTAGTCCGCGACCCTAACCGCTGAGCCATCCTTACACCAATTGAATTATATGCTTATATTTGATGCTAGGCATTGAGGCATTAAGATGAGCTGAGGACAGAGTGAGATGGAGGACGGATGTCCATAAATAGGTGCACCTACGGCCTCCACAAGGGCTACGGTCATGATGATGATTGGATACTATGCTGATATTTAACTATTGCATAACGAATTTTTAATACTGCATGTAGTTAGTTCGTCTATTTTTTTTCGGGCAATGAGGGTCTAGGCCGCCTTCTCAAAAAGAGGCAATACTAAAAAGTAACCCTATTGAATGAAAGTCACCTCATAAATTAAGGGTCTTACATAGAGAGCACAATTAAGGGTTTGCGTAACTCAGTCAGAAGGCTTAAACTAAAATCCAAATACGTCAATTTTCATGTCGAAAACAGAAGGATTGAAGCTACGGATAGCACGACGCTGAGGATTCAAATTATTTCCGTTTTCGAAAAAAACTTAACGGCCTAATGACCCTTAAACTATGCTACTGAAAACGTCTTAATGACAAATTGCAACGTTGTTGCTTAGGGCAAAGACTTTGCTTTTTTTCTTGTAAAATCTTTATCTGCTAAATGGTTTTTTGAGGGATAATCAAATTGTATCAACTTTGAAAGACGCATATTGGAATTTAAAATAGTTTTTAATGAAAAGGCTTAACATTGCAGATGGTTAAGTGGAACCCTTGAATAATGTAAAAGTTCATTTTGCATCAGACCATTAATCTTAATCATAAAATCCTCCTTATGAATCTTGTTTAACTTGTTCTTGCAACTTTTGATCTATGTCAACATACCTTTTTCCAAGCATAAAAGCTAGATCGCAGTCAACCTTGGAATCACAACAGTATTTGATGCAAGTATTGATTCCTTTGACTCTTCCAATATCAGTAAATCTTCCAGCTTTTAGGCCACCAGCAAGTTTCATGTTATACATTATCTCATTATGTGGGCATTTGTCTTCGATACTGTCTGTCTTCAACGTCCGCGTTTTATTATCTGCAAGGACGGCACTTAGTATTAAAGGCAATCTGTCACGACGTTGATTAATTATAAGAACAAAGGGATTTTTTATTGTTTCAAGTCCCCCTTTAAATTATCGCATTGTAAAAAATATGGCGGAGCGCTGGAATTGTGTTAAGGCTATTGTTCCAGCTATTGTTCTCGTTAACCAATCCACAACGAGACAGATTGCCTTTGAAGTAGACTTCTGCAAATGTAAACAATTTTGAAGCCACTTGAGAAGTCGATGTCACTAGCACTTGGATACAAATCAGGATCTCTTATTTGATGTAGCCAAAAATAGTTTGATTTCTGTCTTTAACTATTTACATATTTTAGGGGTTAATGATCGCTGACTGGTCAAAAGCAAGGGACAAGTCAAATACTCAATTTTTCCTCTCGCGTTACTTTCAATCGACACATGGGTACAAAATGTCTGCTTATTTTTTGTCATTATCAAACGTTTACACTCTGAGGGGTATCGGACGAAAAGTATTTTAGTATGCTTTGTTTCCGCTTTTCTTTGCTATCTTTAAGCTACCCACTTCATGAATGGGTCCAACAGAATAATCAAACAACAAGTATTTAAACCACACTCCTACGTTTACTTAAAGATACTATTGGCTGTGCTTTCTAGTCAACAGTTCTGAGCATTCAAGTAGACGTCAGTGTCAGCAAGATTTATTTAAAAGTAATCCATTGGAATTCTAATGTTGCTATTCATTGGAATACAAGATACTCTACCACGTTTTCTTAGGCCCATGACTTGTTTTGGCTCTCTCAATGAATTAACAATTTTTTAACCATTTACAAAATGAACAAATGGGATGTCACCAAAAAGAAATGCTAAAGATCCATTAGTGACTGAGTTTTCTTACCTACTTGGATGTTTTTCAATCCTCTTCCAGAGACATGGGCAATTTGGAGGTCTTCATACTCGCCATACATTTGCGGCACTGTTTCACACGAACTCTCATTGGCACACCGAACACCAATGCAGTTTTTACCTTGTCCTTCTAACATGGCGACATCGCAATACTCTTGCTTGCAGCATTTGTATATACATTCCTGGAAGAATAGGCAAACATTCATAAAAGGCTTGATTTTATTTGGAACAGTGGCACAAAGAATCGTCTACTGTGCTTGTTTAAAAACTCAACTGTCACAAGAAGAGCTAGGCCAAAGTTCGATACATGCGCTTTCTTGTTGTTGCTAGCCTGTTTATTCGTAACCTTTAATGACAGTTCTAACTTGTTTATGATCTCCTTCAATGACTGAGTAAGAACGAACCCAACTTATGCTTGAAGTCTTAATTGATTAGGAAAATGAAAGAAATCATCCACACATAAAATAATCAAATAGATACCCTTTTTCTAATTTGAAATCTGCTACGTGTTTTTAGCTAGGCCACTTGCCTGAACATTTTTCACTGTTCCCAAACTTCTAAATATTCCTGCTTTCTTGCCCCCTTTGAGTGACATTCCATACTCGACTTCACTATCTTTGCAGTGGTATTCCTCTAAGATCGTGTGACTTGAGACAGCACCTATAAATACTGAAAGACGGCAACGTTAAAGAAAGGCAAAATGTATGTGCGACAAAAAGCGACCTCACATCAAGAAAGGAACTCGCTTAAAAAATCGGTCTTTGAAAATTCAAATCTAAATGCTGGAAACATAGGAGTCTAACCAATGCAACACTAGCAACAAGTCAGAATCTCGACTTTATATGTGATGTTCTTGTAGCAACATCAATAATTACACATTGATGTTGCAGTGTCTATTAAAAAGTTTCTTATCTTTTAGCCTTGTCTCATTTTAATTTAGCGAAATAGTTTTAAGCTTCTTGGCTCTTATTTATGACTCTCAAACAATTCCTCTTGAGATAAGTATTTGAGGTTTTGTCCGTTTTATAAAAGTTTTTGCAAATGTAATAGCTTGTTAAACAAACGTACCATAGTAACAGCCCCAAATAATTTTCAAAACGATACTAAAACAGTACAAGCTTGCATTTGGCCATTTGCATGTTCAGCCCCCAAAGCTTTTACCCCCAAACCCATAATATGTTCGGCAGGGCCGTAAATCCCGGGGGGGGGACGGGGGGGACTGGACCCCCCCAAAAATCTGGAGCAAAACGATTTTTTTGGAGAATATACCATCATTTTTCTTAAAAGAAAGAAATCCCTGGTAGACAGGTTAGAACCAAACTACGTTTTCTGTGTTATTGCAACAAACATCAACCATTAAGGTTTTTATAATTTTTACAAGATAAAAACTTACCGTTTTCTACCGTTTTTTACCGTTTTCTACTGTTTTATTTTTTAAAACAGAGTATGAAATAAAAAGAGAGCAATCTGTCATTTTATTTGACCTATTTACTAACTTATTAACTTATTTACTTTTCCTTCTTTGTCTATTTTTTACTTTTATTTAGTAAATCACTTTTTGTATCATTAAAATGTATTCATTTTTTATGTGTAAACATGGCCTACTGAAATCAGTCAAAATAAGGAAGACGCACATTTCTGTTCAGAAAGTAAATTTCTACCAATCAATACAACAGTGTCCCATATTTCCTCAAAGTCTGTCTCTAAGGTTTAAGCATGACTCTTCCGCTCCAAAATTTCACCCAATAAACAATAATCTGTGTTCTTCTGAGAAACGCCAAACTTTCTATCCTGAGCGATTCTAGTATTTTATTAAATTTAGTCTGGGGGATGCTTTTTTAGCCTTTCTAGAAGGTAAAATTTCAAAAATTTTCTTCCACGTCGGACCCAACCATGGTGGGTCCTCCTACGACAGTAAACTTGATTCTTAGCTCCCAAGGTTCAATTTCTTGGGGCCGTCTCTGAAAAATGTTATCCATCCAATCATACACACAAGTCAATTTACTAAGGAATATCTGTAAATACCTTCTATAGAGCAGAAAGTCTTGAGAAATCCAAAAATATTGACTTTTGTTTTTAAAGTAATTTGCCCCTCAACTGTTTCCATAACACATACCATAAATCCCTTATGGTGCCATGACCCACTGCATTGATTCGCTCTGCTGACCCCCCCCAATTCACATGACAGATTTACGGCCCTGATGTTCGGTCATCCCTGCTCCCTATCAACTTGACACTTACCTAAAATCAAATATTGGTAGCGGAAATGGTAGAATGTAGGCCGCTCTAGCAAAATATTCCCTAAGTTTGCAGCATTACTTAGAGTGACATGTTATTCTTTGTTTCCGCCATTTTTTGTTCTCTTATAAATCACAAGCAAAAATACCCGGATCCAAATGAGCATGGCCTAATACCAGTCATTGACAGAAGCCCCTCTTTAGAGAACTGTGTCAAAACGAAGGAAATTTGATATTGTTTTCAAAAAAAATGCAATCGATATATTACGAAATGAAAAAGTCTCTTGGATACTACGAACGGATGCTACGAACGACAGCACACCAAAAATTTTCGAAGGAAGAAGCAGTTTTTATTCAATGCTGATATCTTAAAGAAGAATTGAGAAAAATTAATGCCTGAAAATGCACAGAAGTTCTTCGCAAAATGTCAAAACAAGTTTTTAAAAAGGCCTTGTTGCTGAAAAGTGCAATTTGATTGTATATATATTCAGTAAGAAAATTTTAAAAAATACAGAAATTTCAACTGCTTTGAACATCACAAAACAGTCCATTCGTTATCAAGGCAAACCTTTCTCTGGTTTTTTCATTGCCCACCAATAAAGAAAAGTCAAAAGATATAGTTTTATGGAAACACCAAGTTATTCTTTAACTATTCGATTTTAAATATTGCGAAGCCTTGAAAAGGAAAAGGGGAATCTTGACGAGCCTATTTCTTCATCAACAAATCCCATGTAGTTACGTGCAACAAAATATTTTCTATAATAGTTACAAGCGCTTGATTCGATAAAAAACTACATTGACATAAGAACCGCATAATCAACAGAAAGAAACACATTTAATATGATTTTAATTCACTTACAAAAGGCTAGCAATGTTTTCACTCCAAGTCGACTGGTAGCCATCTTTGTGACCTGTTGACCTTTCCTAATTGATTTCCGCCAGTGTTTTAGATTTTCCTCGTCCGATCAAACACACGTGATAAAAACAAACGGCAAAAATTGAAATCCAACGATTTTATCCAGTAACACTCCTTCGATAAGTTCTTTTCTACAAAGATTACAGCGGACAGCCCCTTCTCGCTTCAAATATGTTGTGATAACATAACGTAAGAATTCGACCCTAGATCTCTAGATGCAATATCGATTGCAGGTGACTGAAAAACAAGCTCTGCGAAGGAGGAGGACTGTTGTGACGATGATCTTGTCTGCAGACGTGATTGCAGTGTAAATAGTAACTTCGGTTAATGCATTCGAGAAATATGAAGATGCACTTTGATACGTAAGGCGGGTATTGGCATTGTATTCACGGAGCTTGTATTTTTGTCATGGTGCATGGATTGTCATTATCAGTGTCTGCAGTGTGTGTAATGACTGAATGTATTGCAAAGGAGGTAAAACAAATTTAGAGTGGGGTATATCGTTGGCAATTAGGAGGAACCAGCCCCTTCAAGGTCCTTAACGCACGTACTATAGTTCCTGCTAATTAACAACTTGTAATTTAATTTGCACATCAGAAGATTTCGTCAATATTAAAAACAACATTCTCAGTTTTTGAGTATTTCGTTTCGCAAAACTTGAAGATGCAATATCGCAAATATGGCAAGCTATTGTGCTATGTTTCCGCTACTTCGTGCCATCTTCAAAGTTACAGATTTTGACAATGAATTATTGATTATAGCAATGAAAACTTGTTATGAAAATACTGGTGTAGCTTGGACTTAACATTGGCAAAAACACGAGGTTATCAAATAAACAAAACAGAGCTTTTGAAGCAATGTGATAATTTACTACGTGAATGGAGAAGTTAGATGTTTTGGAGAAGAGGAATTTTTGATTTTAATGCTTTAAGTAATTAAGGCAAAGTGTTTAACGATTTAGCCAGTAAAAGTGGTGAAAAGCTACTTCAGAACTCTATTTCAAGTGTGGCTAATGCATTTTGGCTTGGTTGTAAGAGTAGCAAACAAAAATTTTTGCTAAAATCCGAAGGTTGCTGGAGTGAATACAAAAATCAAGGAATCATGGTTCGAAGCACTGTTGCTAGAAAACACTCGCAAGCAGTAAGAGAATAGCTTGAAAATTGGCACTTATCAGTACGAATACCATTATAATGCTTTGAAAATTTAAATTAGGCGTTGTTTCTTACGCTAAAAACCTACAAATCAACAGTGAATCCGTGCGTAGAAATTCGCAGACAGTCGAACGGTATTTTTTGTTTCTGGTCAGACCAGACAACCAAATTTTGTTTTTTTGCTTAAGCCTCAACAGTGACCAGGGTATCGCAACTGAACTTCACTAGGGGAAGGGAGGGGTGCAAAGCAAGAAAGTGGGGCAACGTTTGGAATGAGGAACGCTGGTAGAAGAGAAGAGAAACAGACTAAGAATTAATTTTTCTCAAGAAAAGGGAAAAGAATTCCCAAAAAAGGAGGGACGTGACAAGGATCAGAGGGACATGGCATGTTTTTTCTAGGTGTGGCTCTAGAACTTTATTATAGATAAAGCTAAGATTGGCTAGATTTGCCGATGACAGCACCAATTTCCCATCAGCTGTCTTGTTTCAGTTGGGCCCTCTTGTTTCAGTTGGGTGTGGTGCCCGTAGAACATCTTTCACCCTGTCTGTTGCTTTTCGGAAAGCAGTTGAACTCATTAAAGTAAGTTGAGCAATGGTGGCGGTGAAGCTAATTAACGGTATTGCAGAATTAAATTCATGATCCTGATTTCAAAGGTTAGTCTTTCTAGTCAGAAAAGACTAGGTAGCCCATACTCAATGTCAAATCGAGCCATGAAGATAATTCATTTGAAGCAATCAGTAGTGTGAAATTCAGCATATGGATTTAGATAAATAGATCACATGCATTGATACAAACCAACTCTACAAACATTCGATCGGCAAATCACGCGCAATTTTGAATGTAGGAAGCTCAAGTATCCTTCGGGACTATTGTTGCTCAACATAATTTTCAACATAAAATACCAAAGATTGGTAAATTTTAACAGCGCTCCTGTCTTAAGAGAAAAAAGTGATAAGAAAGCAGAAGGGTGTTAGGGGTTGGTTCCACCAAACCACTTCAACTGCGCTGCGAACCGAGGGGCAAATCACTCTAAAAAAATCTCGTACACCTTTTGTGAAAATCATATTTTTTTAACTGAAAATCCCCAGAAATCCTTTTGTTTTAGGCGAAATATCGTACGCTTTTTGCAAGAGTGTATCGCCCCTCGAAGAACTACTAACTACAATAGTAGATATTCTTCAGTGATATTTGCGCTGTCGCTGGACACAATTCAAGCTGTGAAGGAGCAGACGGTTAACGAGAAGTAAAATGAAGAGTTGTTCATGATTTACCTGTAGGCTCGTTGGACAGCCGGTGTTCTGGCCGTTTGTTCACATGGCTTTTGCATCGGCTAAACGAGAGCCACCAGTGTTCACTCAACCAAACCAAAAATAGTGGGCCTAAATTATTTGCGGCTTCCAACACAAAGCAAAACAAAGTTAAATAGATTACGTTACATTAAATTTCATCGATGACAATTAGCTGTAGTGGGATCCATTATAAGAACTTGGTAGACGATCTTACCGTTGACATGTCATGATGGAATACAATTCTTAAGATTGTTTAAAAAATATGTGATTTTTCTGAAGATGCGATGAGAGTCAACTCATAAACAAAAACTTGTCAGTTACAAGAGGAGTTGATCGATGGAGCAAGTTGTCTTCATTTTGGTTCAAATTTGCCTGGTTTTCAGTGCAAGGACAACACGAGAAGGTAAGATATTAACATAGATATTAAGATATTAACATCGATATTAACAAACTAGTAACTATAATTTAGAAAGTAGCCCACATTATAAAAGAATTGTGTTAATATAGAACACAAATCTTGTGAATCAAGTTTGGAAGAACCTTTGAAATATCATAAAGTTTCGCTTACTGCTAGTATTGCAAAATAATATTAAATTAAAATTCATGACTTATCATTAAAGCATGTATTTTTCGGTATAATAATCAACCCCATCACAAATGAAACCAAATGGGACAATATAACAGGAAAAAAGCAAAAACTAACAGTAAGTTTCTCTGAAGAAGATACAAATAACCTCTCTACATAAGAGGCTCATCGAGCTTTAAATATCATATGTAAACATTAGCCTTTCTCTATAATGGGGAAATGAGATCTTATAAAAGCAATAATACTGATGGTTGGTGAGAGAGGTCATAATCATGTCAATCATTAGAAAGACCAATGACGAAAATGATGACAATTATGAAAGATGATAGATGATGATCAAATAATGAGACAAATGAAAATGACAATTAATGAGAATGACCGGGATCAAGGTAAGCATGACATGGATCAAAAAGGAAATTGTTGATAATCATGAAATATGATTGATGTTGGATGATGATGATTGATCATAATGATAATAATGTTAATGAATGGGATGGTATTGACGATTACTGACATGTCATACTTTGACTTTAACTGATCAGGGGGAAACGAACCACTTCATTCCCACGCCCTAGGTTTAACTATCCCAGAAAACGAAATCTGCCAATCTCTCAATCAGTTTTTTTAGAAAAGTGCAGCATTCTAAATTTTGGCCATAAAACTTTACCGTTGAAGTTCAAGCTTCCCAACATACTGGTTCGAACAACGTATCACATATTCGGCATTTAAGACAAACTTTTTTCACTCTTGATCTCCTCTCATGTCGACGAGCGAATTTACTTTGATGAAGGTCGGTAGACAACTGTTAAAAAACAACAAATTTGATCAAAATAAGTAAGTAAAGGATACAAGATATGGTAGTGCGGGTAGTATAAAATGTACTAACTTTGAAATGAAATGAAATTTAAATTTAAAGGATGTTGATTGTGTAACAGTATTGCTTGTTTCTCATTACCACAGCACACAGCAAACTATCGAAGCTTACGCGCTGCACCTACGAAACAGTTCTATCAAACCACACTTTTAGCAGAAATAAACAAGCCGGAGTATTTACACACCTCGGGCGCGCTGCAGACATTCATAAATGCAAGCAAATGTGTTGCGAGAAGGCAGACTGTGATGTTGCGTTCATGCCGCAAAACCACTGCTACGCAGTTTCGTGTTACTCAGATGAACATTGCGAGACAACGCCAGCATCAGTGTCGAATTTTGTAGTACAGCTTGTTAAAGTTCGACGGGTTACGATTCCTGATCCTTACAATGAAAGTCCAAAAGAAGAGGACATATGGAAATCTGGCAATCAAGAGAGCTCGAAGGAGAACTTAAACGAGGAAGGTGAGACCTTGACCAGAAAAGTTGGTCCCAGAAAATCATACAACCACTATTTGTTTTCTGTGAAACTAAGCTTTACTGTATCTTTCTAATAAAAACTTTAAAAATATTGATATTTAGAGGAATTAAATCAAATTAAGTATCCAATGGAAATGAAATATATGAATAACGAGTCATGAATATTTAGCCCACCTTAATTGTAGCTCAAGGCATTTTATCCAACACGTTTTGCATAGAAATTTTGTTTGTATGTTTCCTTAAGTAAATAGTAGCTCAAGGCATTTTATCCAACACGTTTTGCATAGAAATTTTGTTTTATGTTTCCTTAAGTAAATAGTGAAAATAGTTAGATTTTAGTAAAGTGAAAGATGAAGAAATCTTTTGCATATCGAATTGTATTTTGAAATTAATCAAATTAATCAACATAAAGAGCAAAAAATCTAAATTTCATACCCTTTATAATTATTTTTTGCATCATTTTCAGTCACTCTACAAACTTCAAATGCGATGGAGGCGTTCATCTGTACGCACAGTCCTGTCTTGTACAATGTGACACTGCGAGGTGCGTCGAAGTCGGGGATCTTTACTGATTTAGGCTCCGTTGACAACATCAACATGTGCATCGCCCTGTGCTGTGAATTGCAGAAGTGTGACTTGGCGTTTATGATCGGCCAGACATGTGTTGCAGTGAAATGCCACAGCGAGGAGCTCTGCCAAACGATAAAGGCCAAGCCATCAAAACTGGCACCCCAGCTAGCGTATATCAGGAGAAAAGAGGTGCAAAAGAAAGTTAGACGTAAGTTTTAGAAATCAGGTGACTTCTAGAAGGGTTTTCAAAGATATGTCATCTTATACATAGACTAGGGAACGAGAAGAGAACGGGAAGGGCACGACAGGGGAACGGGAAGGGAACGACAAGGGAACGACAAGGGAACGACAAGGGAATGGGAAGGGGACAAGGGGGAAAGACAAGGGAATGGCAAGGGAACGACAAGGGAACGGGAAGGGAACGACAAGGGAATGGGGAGGGAATGGCAAGGTTTTTTAATTGGCAGCAATTAAGAAATGATACAGATTTTAAAGAAAATCTTAAATGAAAAATTTTGAAACCCTTAAGTTCTAAAGCCTGATTTACACGAGAGGAATTTCTCGTGCGAAGCGAATTTTTCACCACAAATTTCTTGGCTGCAAATTTTTCTTTCGAATTCGAAGTTCAGTTTACACTGGCAGAATTTTTTTTGCGAATTTGCTGCAAATAATGCAAGCGAATGTGGCGACTGTTCGAAAAGTGCTATCATCAGAAAAGTTAAAATTTGAAAGCTAAATTTACCGATAAAGCGAAAAAAACAGCAGAAAAGTTCAAGTGAAATAAGAAGTTCAGATGTATGACAATTACAAATTAAAAACATTATTACGAAAATGTCAAACAATAAGTTTTGTAATAACATACTTTATATCAACATTATTTTTTCGCATTTTTGAAGCTGCAAAGTCAGGAAAATGTCATCCTTGAGAGGCATGTCTATTACATCATGCTCGATGCTTAGAAGAGACGAGCTATCCAATTGAGTGTGACTTATAGTTGATTGCAAGTAACTCTTTATGCATTTCAAACTTGAAAGGAGCCTTTGCCACTGCAGTTTGTCATCATGATTGTTTTCTAAATTTGGAAAAGAATTCGACAGTATGATTTAAAACATATTTTTTGATAAATTTTCTAAAAATTCTGGCCAAGTAAGCCATGCAAAGTCGGATGTTCTCCTGCTCATTAGAAATAGCCAGGCCACAGTAGGAAAATACAACCAACCACTTAATTAGCGACGAAATTTGCTGATTAATAGCTTTGAAAAAAAGTAAATCTAAATGCATGCATTCTAACAGGGAGCATTCTAACAGGGAGCATTTGGGTTCAACTTGAGCGTTTCAACAAATGCATTCAAACTTTTTGTCAACTCAATGTTACATCTAGCTACTGTTTCTCCATTCTTAAAGAAAGTTGATTCTTATTGCAAAAAAACTTTCCATAAATTACTTTATTCAATATAGGAAGCTAAAATCAGTAATTTTGTATTCAACATATCAAAGAATAAAGATGAAATTTATCTTAGATGTAAAGGATAGAGTTTTACTTCATTTTTCAACTTCATTTTTAAGGGAATTAATTTTGCAAGAAATTATTTTTTTCGAAATTTTTAAGCAATTTTCTTAGGCATTGATTTCGTGTATTGATCAAATTAGAATATTTCACGGGAAGTTATTTAAAAAAAAATACCGATTTATAATAAACTGCTAATATTAGATAGCAAGTCATGATATCTAAACGATAGGTGTTTGAGACAAAGATCAGAAGTAAAAAGTGATTATGATAGAAGAAAAAAGCAATGATCAAATTAAATTAAATTGATCAAAGAAAAAAAAGGAGAAATGTTTTATTTTAAGTTAAACTTATTATGCCAATAAAATCCAAAAAGTTCAGTATATTCTAACAAGAGTAAAGCCAGGATCGCGTCAACTTGTGCTCGCCAACCCGTCAGTGTTAAGTTTCCGCGCGCATAGAAACTTAACACTAAAGCCCAATCTCCAGTGAGAAAAAAAACTGCGAAATGCGAAAAAGTTCGCGCGAAATACGTCTTAGGCATGCGCAGTGATCTTTTGCTGGGATTTCTCGCGAAGAATTTCTCTGCGAAAAAAAGTTAAAATGAGTTTAACTTTTTCGCTTTTCGCTTGCGAAATCCTTCAACAGCCAATCACATTCCGTGTTCTTTTGTCACGCTTCCAAACTTTACATTCCAATGTCGTGAGGTCAACAAAAGCATTCAAAGGAATTTGTCGCGTGAAGTATTTCGCAGCGAAATTTCGCAAGATTTTTTCTCACTGGAGATTGGGCTTAAGTAAAGCCTGATTTACACGAGACGAATTTTTTCGTGCGAAGCGAATTTTTCGCCGCGAATGCGCGAAAAATATGCGCAGAAGTGGAGATTAGAAAATTCGCAGCGAATTCGCAGCGAATTCGCAGCGAATAATTCGCTGCGAAAAAGTAGAAACCATTCCTACTTTTTCGCTGCGAATTTTTTCGCCATGTAAAATAAACCAATCAGAACAGCAATTGAAGACATCTGACACGAACCCAAAGGAAGGGCTAGGCCGAATGGTGCTACGCAATGTAAACATATCTAAATCAAAAGTATGCAAAACGACAGAAAACTACGAAATGGTTGAAGACCTATGACAAACAACAACATGGGTGAAGAATGAGTAACCTATGACAAGGCCTAAACAATGCTGGGAAAATCCCGCACCTATAACATAAACAATGGAATGGGACGTTTCTAGCAACAGGCGTCTTTGGTGCAATAAACGATAAAAGCTCCTCATATGTAGTTGGCGACATTCGAAAGTAATTATTCCTGACAATGTAAGCGTAAGTCACTTACCAAAAGATGAAACTCCCCCTTCTGCAGACGTTCTGAATAAATTTTCCGAACCAAGTACCCATTTATTTGCTTTTTTGCTCGCTTTTTTTCAATAACAACAATCTTCGAACAGACGCCATTTTCTTTGGCATTATTCGCGGCGAATTCGCAAAAGAAATTCTGCCAGTGGAAATTAAACTTCGAATTCGCAGCGAATTCGCAGGAGAAAAATTCGTGGCGAAAAATTCGCTTCGCGCGAAAAATTCGTCTCGTGTAAATCAGGCTTAAGGCTTGGCGACTGACGATAGCCGATCACAGAATGAGTCGACGATGCGTCGAACCACAACCTTACGCGATCCTGGCTTCCAAAAGCTGGATTACAAATGCACGCTAAAACATTCAGCCAACTGTGTTGTGAAAAAGTTCGATATCATATGTACCGACGATGAATGCGGGATCTTGGCAAACAAAGGCTTTGTAGACTGTTATTGTTCTGGGTTATTCTAAGCCGGTGTGTAGACAGGACAGAGGATAAACGTGCAGCTTTGCTTTGTATTTCTTTCTGGTGTGGCTAAGAATAGAAGATAAAACCTAAAAATGGTTGATGTGACTAGCAATCTGAAAATTTTATTTTGGCACCGAGATCGTCTTCAATTTTAGAATTTTTTTCATTTTTCGTTTCTCATTTAAGGCACACTAGCGTATTTTCGTCAAGGCAAACAACCGCCTTCCTCCTTTTTTATATAAGGAACCACTTTATAAGGAACCTAGCTACATGTAGAGGACAGAAGAAAATTAAAGAGCCGGCAGTATTATATCGGGGTCCCTAAGAAACATTTCATTTTTGAATATTTTCATCATTGCAAACAATCAAGAACTACGAGGCCAGTTCCATTTATTTGGAGATAAAAATCACATAGGTAAACTGTGTGTTACGAAGGAAGGTTTTGCATATCTCATTGTGTAATTTCGAGCAATTAATTTTCCTTCTTGATTGAATTTCCACTTTATCATATATAATACGTCTTTCTAGATTTCTTTCTGTTTTCAATCCTGTTTTTATAGCTACAGTTCAGAATCTAACGACACTGATACAGAATTCTAATGTGAAGTTAAATTAAGGAGCTAATAAGGAGCTTTAACAACTACAATTTGATAAAAAGATATCTTAAAATAAGTAACTTCAAGTACTAGGCCATGAGCTAGACTCCTTATAAAATAAAAACATGCCTAGAACATTGCACAGCATGGGCGTCGACAAAGGGAGTACGAGACTGGTGGCCCCACTCAACTTTTGGATTTCCGGCAAATACAAACAACTTCTAGATTATAAGTTATATTATAAATTACTCCAATATTTAAACTTTGAAGATAAATTAAAAGCAATAAACGAATTTATCTACAACATTTACTTTGTTCCTGGCTAAAAATTGTTCGTTTAAGCTTAGATGGCTCAATGGTTTAATGGGAAGCACTTTGGTCAGGTTCTGTCACTGCAAACAGTGTCACTTTAGGAACGCTATTTTTGTCGGCAAACCTGGGGATCGCTCCCATAAGGAATTTTCTTCAGCTCGCTCCTGTTGTATACTAATAAGCCAAGAAAAGTGCATATCTTTTTCCTAGTCAATGAACCAAACCTTTTAGAAGCATTCTGGAAATCAATAAAAACAAGCTTGATGTCAACAAGGGCCGCCATGATCACTTGATTTATCACCTTGGCAACCTTTCGATTCATAATCTTTAAAAATCATGACCAGTCTATCTTTGCTCTCCGCTGGTGAATAATTCACAAAACTTCCAGGACACACGGGTTGGAATTACGTTGATAGCTACAAATGTTTATCAATGCGGTCTGATAATTGCTTCCATTTAATATCCAATGAAAGTAAATAAACTTCTTTCTTGAAAAGCGCTTGTAAGCCAAAATGGTTTTTGTCAGAGAGCATCCCATCAAAGCATAGACACTTTGAACTTCGGCGAACAGTCTCTATCATTCTGTTACATAATCGACCGGAAAATTCATACTTCTGACGAATGGTATAGTCTGCCTAGACTTGTTCATTAAATGGCTCATATGAATTTTACATATATAATGGCCACTTACATCAAATGGATCATTTCTTCTTACATCAAATGGACCATAGTTTTGCTGAACCTCAATATTCTTGCTCAAAACTTGCTATTCTGGCCCTACAACAATTCTTAAATTCACTACAACGTGTAAACTTCGCACTACAAGCAATACAACGTGTAAACTTCGCAAAAATCGAGAAAGAAAGTTCTGATCTTTGTTATTATGTTTTTTAATACTGGATGGGAGTAGCTCAAACTCTTCGCGTGGAAATTTGAGCTTGGCAATAATTCTTAAATTCTTAAATTTGAGCCTAAAACCCTTATAAAACTTATTCTTAAAAACGTGTATATTACATAAGTTAAGATCGTAAAATCGATGTCCCAGGCCTCTTGCTGGAAACATCGCTATAAAAAAACAGAGAAAAACAACACAGCAAAGCAATAGAAAACTGGGAAATTTGTAAACTGAAACGTTTAAAACGGAGACGCTAGAAAGAAATATGGAGACATCTAAAACGCATCTGTTGTCACTGTGGAGTGTGGAATCGGATGCACGGAAAAGCTCTTGTTTTCATATTGAGTTATTCTATTTATTTAGACTTCAATTGTAACATCTCTTACAATCAACCCATTCAACTTTGCTCGGGGTTTTGGAACCCTCTTCCACCAACAAAACGGACTTGCGTGTTAACTATGCAATGCTTATGCCAACGTAAATCAGGCAACATCAACAACATTTACAGTATTGAATGTCCTGGAAAGAACACAAGGTAACATCTGTGAATCACTAGAAAAACATGGATTGATTTTTCAGCATCAATTACTTGGAATAAACGTGTTTTTCGATATTTGTGTTTCACTTTCTTGATGTAATTGCACTACTGAGAGAATTTTTTGTCACATTCAGCTGTTGCTGCGCAGCCACAGATACAAAGTCCTCCGATACTGCAAAAGCCTCCGCAGAAGCAATCTCCAATACTTAGGCCGAGCACATGTCAAACGCGGAAGATCTACAACAACGTAACACTTCTTGGTGGCACAAAAGCTGGAAATTATACATCTCTCGGCAAGGCAGAACACTTGCAGGACTGCGTTGGCAGAGCATGTGATTTAAATGAAGGTCACGTGGCATTGATGATTGGCAGATATTGTTTCTCTGTCACATGTCATAATGAGAGAGTCTGTCAAACAATACCAGCAAAACCAACACAGCTGAAGCCAAAAGTTGCATATTTGGCTTGGACCCAAGAACCTATAGAGCCAGATACAAGTAAGGCCTTGTTTACTATTGCCATATAAGGCATTGTAAAATGTTCCCAATTCGACGATTTCTGATGACGTCTCAACCTTGGTCTAAAAGCTTACAGAAGCATTCAGTCTTAAAACTATTCTTGTGAGATATTTTGGATAATGTATGCATTCGAGGATAACACTACCAATAACCACTGATAAAGAAAAATAACGAACAAAAGGAACCTCCAAAATCTTTAAATGTATTCTTCCTTTTTTCTAGTAACAAATATGGCGGAAAGTGACTTTTTTGTTAATCATCATCGATTTCCAAGATGCAAACGAAGCCATATCATGTACAATCACACACTAAAAGGAGGCTTGAGGGCAGGGAACTTCAGCATGCTAGCCGCTGTCAATGACATCGAGGTTTGCGCTGCATTGTGCTGCGAAGAAAAGAACTGTGATTTGGCTCTCATGATAGGAGACAATTGTTATGCAGGCGACTGTACCAGTCCGGACCTATGCAAAGCTGTACCAATACCACCTGGTATGGTGCAGAGATCACAGATAGCCTACATAACTGCACCCGGACGAAAGAAACCAGAAGATAAATGGGTAAACGCAGGTAAAATGTTGCTTTTGAATTAATCTCCATTCAAAGTTTTAAGAATTAAGTTTACAATCAGCGTTATGATACCATCAATGTAGCATTCGTTATAATATCATCAACCTAGCAAATTTAAAACCTTGTTTACTGAAATTTTCTGACTCACAACATTGGCAAAGTAATTTTTCACCATAAACTACAGAAGTATTGAACATTTTTCTATAGTTATTGATTCTCTCCATGTTCACGTGTAGTTAAGTTCCCACTTTTCAAGCTCAACTGCTTGTTTATCATAAGACATAATTAAATTGCTTTCTTGAAACAATGTTACAATGAAATACATTAGCAATCGAAACGTTCCGATTCAATCCGAGAAATGACTCGGATCATTTCGAAAACATAATTTTGCGTTTCAGATTGGAGTCTGGTCTACCTCATAGTGAGCAGTCTGGTTATTGGAATCAGTCTTCTGGGTACAGCATGGACAGTTTGTCTGTGTGTCTTAAAGTAAGTACAATTCTTATTCATATATGCATAAGACCAACTAAAGTGTGGATACCTATGGCAGCGGTGACTAGAAAGCGTTTAGAAGCTTCACATTCAGTTTTTAAGTTCAGCTTCAGATGATATCGTCACTTGAATGGCATTCTCTTTTTTCACATTCTTTTGTCATATCCCTTGAGCAGCTAATCTTTTAACTGTCTCAGGTCCTATGCATTGCAAATATGATGAAACATATTGTTCCATTTTCTTATTGTGTGATCTCTAAAGTCATCATCTAAAGTCATGTGTTTCAAATGTGACAGGAGACACAGAACAGTCACCCAAGACGAAGAGCAAGCCAAGGCAGCAAAAAGGACAAAAACATTACGGGATTTAAGAGGTAGGTTGGTTTTATGATAGCACAGAGAGTGTCGAAAACATTCCTTCTGCAAATCATATCGTCCATTTGCACGGAGAACAGGGTTTCATTATGAAGGCGGGCGGTAGATTTTGCATTTTTTGAACATTTCAACATCCGTTTTTCGAATTCGCGTTCAAAACTAGTTTCCATCACAGGATCTGATCTTTGACTGATCTTGTTTAGGAGTCATGAAAAGAATATGGAGTTTCCTTTAGTTCCTAATTTAATAAATATATATAGATTAAATACGACGCTGTACGTAATTGAAAGCAGAATTCAGCATTCTTTTTTAAGGGTTTGGTTTTCAATGTAATTTAAAGGAAAATTGACATATTCCCGGACAAATCTCAAAGAAAACTAACTTTAATTGAAGTATTCTTTTCTGTACCCATTCAAAGCTTTATTAAGTGCAGCTATGTTCGGAGGGAGAAACTTTTGAACAAAGATTTGTCCAAAAAATTTTTTTATGCGAAATTTTGGGTTATCCGAAAGTTTGTCGAGCGCAATGTCAGTTGACTGAACTGAAGCTACGAGAATCAATTTATCTCTGAATCTGTATTCAAATTAAGGAAAAACAAAGGCTACAAACTTCAAACATGAGTAGGTCTGCGAAATTTTGAAAACATTTGTTCTTCCAAGCTAAAGTCATTTTCTTCTCCTTTCTCAGTCTTATCTGAATCGACAGTATTTATGCCTTCGAGAAATGACTGATCTCTAAAGACCTATACATAAACAGGAAAACTGATAAATTTTTCTTTCCTATTCTATGCATTTTAGAGTCTTTGATTTCGAAAGAGGCTTGGTTTAAATACATATTTTTTTATAAGAAAAAAAGAATTTAAGCCAGTTCGGTACTAAAAGATTCATTTCATTATCAAATTTTCAGTACTCAGAAGTTTTGGCAAGTTTTTCAAAAGCTCAGTAACAATCTTTAAAATATGTACGAATCAATAGCACAACGTAGTTTTGCTTTAAACATCTAAAGGTTGGTCAACACTTGACCGAAAATTTACTTGTTAAAAATTTTAAAAAAAATTCCCCAAAACTATTTTCTTCGATTTTTACTCTCCGAAATCATCCGCTAAAAAACTTTCTGTACTTAAAGTACTCTAAAAATTCGTTTTTGCTGAAATAATCTGTGCATAAAAATCATAAATGAGAAAATAAAAAAATTTCGTGATGCTTCTGTTAAAAAAGTCAAACTTAAACCTATATCAGATTTGCATTAATTTAATGTCTCTCCACAAATTTTTACAAACTACGTGTAGCTAGGTTTATGACAGAAAGAGACCAAATTGCAAAGTAAAAAAGGCTGCCGCTAAGACATGGTCGCAGTTCTGGCATTGTTGAGGATGCGAAAAAGAACAGGTTGATCGCAAATTTGCCTTCGTACAAAAATAACAGGGATTTAATATTTGTAAAACCGTGACCTGCTTACAAAATTGGTCAATAGCATGGAGTTACTGGCTCAGCATCGGATGGCTTACCGGCTCAGCAATCAATACTTTTGTTTAATTGCCTGATCGTTTAATTTTTAATGCTGCTCAACTAGGCCCAAAATTCAAAACAGCAAGTCTCGTTCACAGGATGTAGTTTTAAGTGCAGCCTTTGAAAGATATATTTCAACTCGGCTCGGTGGAGAAAAATATAAAAACTGTAAAAAAGGCAGAATGAAAAAAAACTATTCCTTATTAAAAGGCAAATGTTTTTTTCATTTTTGATCAGCAAAACACTACAATTTACAAAATGTTCTCTTCTTATGCTCTCATTAAGTATTGGATTTTACATAATGAAGTGAAGTGGTGAAGAGAAAAGTTTTGAAATTTCTTCGAACATAAGCTAAAAATGATTGCTTTGTGGTATTAAGAAAGCAAGTGCAAATCTTAGCTGCAATGCCATCAAGAAGCAGTTCTTTAGAATACCATATACTATCTCAAACACTGTAGTTATACGCTCAAACATTAAGTATATGCATTCAAACGTACAATTTACCATTTGAATCTTTGTAGAATTTCAGACGGCATGTTGAGCATGGTCAGACGGCAGGTCATATCTTCGTCATGGAATGAGCTTATTATAACGATTTTTGAAAGCTAAGAGGAGTTTTGGGTGATTATAACTTTAATTACCAGTTATTCTAACCTAACTGGAATTCAGGCTTTAAAGAGCTTACGGATAAGCACTTCTGATCTCAAACAGGCTTCGCTGAATCAAATTTTCTTTCAATAGAGCAACTAAAAAGAAATCTGAGGTAACACAAAAATCTGGATTAAAGGACAGAGATAAGTTTACGTGGAAAGCTGCAACATTAATTAGTCTTCTTAAAAAACCGATCTTGTAAATAATCATTCAAGATTATGTAAGAAAATTAGCGGTTACGTTACGGGTTAAAACTGAGCAAGAAAGTTGATCTATACTTAAAAAGCTGTACTCATACATACTGAAGAAAAATCCAAAATTGGCACATGTAGCCGAGAAAAAAGCATACTGTTTATCTTGTCTCATTATTTATCATCATCACACTCTTTATCTTTGACTTTAAAATTTAGCACATCGATGGCAAAGGCATTTGGTTAACAAGGAGAAATCTTGAATGCGAGAACACTCCAATCAATATCATTCTAAATGAAATTTTTCTATCTGATTTTTGGTTTCATGCCACTGCAGGCAAATCATATCATTTGAAGTTAATGTTTATCTTAGGGGTTTAAACTTAACAAAGAAAAACAAGAAACTGTTGTAATATCTCACCTTTGTAAGAACTTATTTGACCTCAGCTTCTTACAATAACAATTTTCCTAGGCATTTGTTTGCCAGTTAAGAGACCTATGTGGAGGAAATAGGACTGGGATGTAGAAGATGTAAATGCTCGTGTTGATGGACCGATTAATGAACTGATTAACGAATTGAAGGATAGCTAAATGGAGTAAAGGTTGGGGAACAATAGATAAAGGAAAGAAGTGAAATTGCAAGGAGGAGAAGGAGACAACAAGTTAAGAAAAACGAAAATAAAGGAAACAGCGACACGTAAGATGGATAGGCAGAAATGGGATAAATGTGAATAAAAGTGAAGAGAAAGAAGAATAAAGAAAATAAAAAGGAAGAAGGATAATAAGAAGAAAGAGGAGGAAGAAGAAATAATATGAAAAAGGAGGAGGAAGAAGAAATAATATGAAGAAAAAGGAGGAAGAAGAAATAAATGGAAGAAAGAGGAGGAAGAAGAAATAATAAGAAGAAAGAAGAAGCATAAGAAAGAAGAAATGAGAAAAAGTCAAAGAAGAAGTAAGGGATCCGAGGAAAAAGAAAAGGAAAAGAGAGAAGATGCTGGATAAGAAGAAGAGCGAAGTGGAAGAAAGAAAAGTAAAAATACGACTTAGAATAAGGAGAAGAATAAGAGAAAGAAATACGGGGATTGAAGAAGAAGAAAACAGAAGAAAACGCTCCGATTTCTCTGGAAAGCAGTAGAACGCATCAGGCAGCGAATTGAAAAATTAAAATTGACACTTGATGTTTCCGTTGTTCGTTACCAATCTTGTTTTTTGAAATGCTTAGTTTAAAGGAGTTGTGTTAGCCTGGTTAAACGAGTTCTTATTCATTTCAACCAATTTCCTAAGGCGCGTTTGTTCGCATAGATTCTACTCGAAAAAAACTTCAACTTCTCCAAGGTTAGGATATAAAGCTCTAACAAAACGATGACAGCAAATAAATTCCCTTTTCTCTAGAATACAATCAATTGTTTTTGCTCGCACAACCATTTTCGTCCTCTCCCTCCTAGGTTCTTTTCCAACTCTCTCTCACTTCCTTCCACTCTCTCTCTGCCGGGGGTTCTGCCTAAATTACAAGAAAATACTAATAATAGAATAAAAACTAAGGGGGTTTCCTAAGGGAGCTCTCACAGTTGCAACAGGTGCATCTATTTCTATTTCTTTCTATTTTGTAGACAACAGGACAGCGAAGTTCATATTTGTGATCCCAATGCTCCATCTAACAGTCAAATTCCGAGCCATTCATCTTTCTCCTAGAAATACCGTTTTCGCCCACAAGCTAGCATTGTTAAAAAAGTCTGATTAGACCAAAAATGAAATACAATTCTGTAAATCTTTTAATCAGGAAGCGATTGGCAATAGAAATGCAGAGATCTCATCCCTATTCTTCATAGACAAGCTCAAACTGCTCAAGATCACAGTTATTAACCCTCAGAAATCACCAATTGAAGCCACTTGATGGCTACGTATTTGTTTGTCGGTGCCTACGCATGATAAAGATGTCAGTGCAAACCTTTACATTTAGTACATAAAATCTCAAGTGGCAACTCTGCCGATAATGAATATACGCATATATCTAGCGCTCCTCCTGGCGGCTGCTCGCCAATCCAGCGGGTCCTCAAGAAGGCCACATTAACGTTTTCCAATATCAAATGCACCAATATCAGTTATTAAGTGTAGAGAGATTTTACATTAAATGAAGCCAAATGATCCCCTATGGCTAATTGAAAATTACATTCATTAAGATATACTACTTGCTATAATGTTTCTTTATGTAGAATTTCGAAAGCCTTTTCAAGTCAATCCTACAATATAACTACCCTACACCGCAATAACCTTCTATATACAGTTAAAGAATCATGGTATGCTGAAATGGATTGTTCTTTTAACTACTCTTTTTGTCAGATTGAATTATAGTTTAATAAAACTCAAGCAAAGATCTTTTTGCTAAATGTCCCAATGTCCCGGTTAATAATTCCAAAAGTACTAAAGTATACGTGAATTGGAAATTAAATGTCATGGTTCTGGAGCTGTTGTCAGCAGCTCTAACTGGCATGACTCGCGTTTTACTGTTCTTTCAAGCAATTCATCTGCACGTGCCACGGATAGCGTTACTGGTATGGTGCGCTCGACAACTTGATTCTCCCTGTAGTTTCTGCATATTCGAATGTAGAAGTAAATGACAACATCAAGAAATGTGTTGAACATGACGAGCAGGTCAGATACGACAACAGCTGTGAAGTCGTACGAAATGAAGAGATAGGTGATTGCAAATGGATAGAAGCAAACGACAAACCCGACTGTCACAAGAAGCGAATGAATGAGTACGGCACGATTCCTCATTCTGGTAGCTTGATATCTTGCGTTCTTGCAAATCTGATCTCGCCTGGATGTTGTGTAAGATATTCCCACATAAAGGATAATCAGGGCCACACCAGACACAAGGGTTACATAAGAGTTGACAGCGAGGAAGTCCATCCGTGTAACAGCACTGAGGATACCATACAAGCCCGCGGAGAACCAAGTCAAAGCAAGAAAGATATTGAACCTGCACTTGTTGATGATGCTTTTGATGTTCAGTGGAAAGAGGACAGCAAAGAAGCGCTGAAGGGCAATGAAAATGATATGGTTGAAGGAGGCGACGACAGAAAAGTTCAAGCCAATAGAAGCATACCACACGAAGCTCAAGCCTGCTATTTCTTTGATGTGCAGTATCCTTGCCATTCCGTAAAGTGCAAAAAATATCGCTGAAACAGCGTCAGCGCAACTCAAACTGACAACAGTTTTGTCGAATGCGGTAAGGTTTTTCTTGGTCTTACATGTAAACACCATTTGTATTGCGTTGGCAGCCACTGCCAGTACTCCTAGCGCGATACGCAAAGAGCCAACAAAAAGTTCTCTTTGGAAGATCTGCGGCATGGCAAAAGTTTTTTGATAAGATCTAACAGCAAAGAAATGTGGAAATATATAAAACGAACAGAAACTCAAAAATCTTTTGACTCAGACGCCGAAATAGTCTCTCAATCTTGATTATTAGTACTTCTTTATAAACATTATAACGAACCCGACGTCCCGTACGATTTCCAGCCGTTGGAAGCTGATAGAAACTCTTTGCAATGCGCGGAACCAAAACCTCAATTTCAAGCACGGCACATACAACTCTTGGTAGGCATCAAAGACGTGATTGTTGAAATCTACAACCTCCGTTCTCCGCAACTTCAGCCAACTGACAAACACTCGAGGAAGCTCTGTATCATCAATCATGTTATTGCAGCTGCCTCAAAAGACTTTCACATTGTCACATAGTTCTTTGCCGCTTACTGAGTTTATTTCCGGCAAAAATCTTCTCTCTTAAATATTTAATAGCCCTTTTTTCTAATAACGTTTGTCTGGTAATTAATTGTACAGGAGAGAAAGAGAGAGAAAGAGAGAAAAAGAGAGAGAAAGAGAGGGAAAGTAACAGAGCAGACGACAATAACAAGATATTATAGTGTTTTACGATGTTTTGGATGCGAAGAGGCCGGGAATCACATTGTACAACGTAAAAAATGAAATATTCTTCAGCAATAACGCTGAAAAGAAGAAAGGTCCTTTCGGTCATTAAACCTGACGTTATTCAACAACGAGCTTTGATTTTGGATTAATTATTCGGAGCAAGGTTAACCATAATCAATGAAAGAGATTAATTTTAGTTAAGAATATTAAGTTGATGATTGACTGTGAAATAATAGGATCTATAATACGTCAAGTGTTAACTGCCCCAAGAAGAGGATTTATTCGATCAGTTATAACATTCAGAATTAACAACCGGCTGTCCCTTGGCAGCCTTTATATCATCTTAGGACACAGCACTCCAATTGCAAAACATGGAAATGCAGGAGCATACAAGACTTTAATACGTCAACAAAGGCTTTTACTACTCGGCTCTGAAAGCATGGAATTATATTCCCATTAATATGGTAGAGCTCCATAGGCTTAATGGATTCAAAAAGCAATTAGAATTTTATCTCACGAGCTAAAATCAACTTAAAATTTTAACTCTTCTTCTCAAATCAACTTAATATTTATTGATCTGCAAAAGGCCTTTGATACTGTTAATCGTGGTATTCTCTTAGAAAAGCTGGGACCTTATGGTATCAGAGAAACTGCCTTAACTCTTATCTGAGTGATCATAGGCAGTTTCTTTCAGTTAATGGTATCTCATCTCTGACATGTGATGTTACATGTGGTGTTCCACAGGGGTCAGTTTTAGGCCCCTTGCTGTTCCTAATCTACATAAGTGACTTACCAAAATCATCTGAAATGTTTACTTTCTTTTTATTTGCTGATGATACCAATATTTATTTTGAATCTGATGACTTGATAAATCTAACTTAAAAAAGTTAATAAGGAGCTCAATAAAGTAAAACCCTGGCTTGACTTCGACTGTAGCAAACTTGCACTAAGTATTGACAAAACAAACTTTGTCTTTTTCAATTCCCCCAGAAAGCAATTACCTGTTTTGATAAACCTTAAATTTGGCAAGTAATTTATCAAACAGACAATTTTAAGTTATTTGGTGTCTTTATTGATGGACATCTTTCCTTGAATTACCACATCATTTAACTTTTTAAAAAACTTTCTAGGACTACTGGGATCTTCTATAGACTCTCTCTTTTACAAACGCATTTTTACAGACCCTGATTCACTCTTTTAATCTTTTTTCAATTATGGTATATTAGTATGGGATCTTACTTATGGCACTTACTTAGACCGTCTGTCCATTATACTAAAGAAAGTCCTAAGATGTATTAAGTTCCACCTTCTACTGCTTCTTCTGCACCCTTATTTAATTCGTTAAAGCTGATCAAGCTTGTGGGTATGCTCCACCTAAATATGTCAGCCTTTGTTTATAAAGCCTTGAACAAACTCTGACCTGTCTGCTCTCATAACTACTTTACCCCAAGTTCTTCTGTTCATAGAATTGGAACACGCCAATCTTCCAGAGGTGATCTATTTCTTTCGTTTAAAAGGATCACAACTTATGGACTCCGAACAGTCCAATACTTTGGCTCAAGATTATGGAACATTCTGCCACTTTTCATACGCGTTTCTGGAACTATTTCCCTTTTTCGGTCAAAATTAAAAGCTTACTATATTAACTTCTAAATTTAATCTTGCTATTTTGCGATGCCAACCAAGGCTCGTTATTTTCCCTCAAGACACGTCTGGCTCTTTTTTATTTTTATATACAATGTTTTTTAGTTTCTTTGCTTTTATGGGATGGGGGGGGGGCTCTCTCTTGATTAGTTTACCTACTTAGAGAGCTCCTCTTTAATCAATCAATATTATATACAATTATGTAATGTCATTTCTTTGTTTAGTTTATAGTTTTGTACTCAAGTGCATATGACACGAAAATTTCTCTTTGCCTCCGCCAGTCGCGGACCAAGCGAAGGAAATGTACGCGAAAGATCATTCGGAGGACCATGTTCTTCAGTAAGATGATGGCTCGATATCTTTACGAATCATTTTTAATAAGTAATACCAAGCGGCGAACTTCAGTCGGGGCAGGTTTTCCCGGACGGCAGCCAAGCACAACGGTATCTCCTTCAAGGAGGTACTATCGTTCCCAAGAGTCAAGTACACTTGTTTGCCGTAACGCACTTAACTGTTTCAAAGTAAAAATTTTCTAATTCTGTTCTTATACAAAATGTTTATTTTGGAATATTGGCTTGGCCCTATGATAATATTGTGAGTTACGAAAAATGACCATGACCGGGGCCGGCGATGTTCACCTCACGTTATTTCATTTTTTATCAATTTTATAATGAACCAAACATTTTCCTAAATTATTTTCCGACCTTTAATGGCATTACTTGAATCATCTAGATAAAACTTGTTACAATTATGGTGGGAAAAGAATCTCTAGGCGATCAACAGTGTCCGTTCACAGTGAAACCATACAGTAGCTTTGTTCTATTAAACAGATACACAACCACTTTGCGTCAGAGGGGTCACGTGACCAGAGATCGGACCGCGTTTTTGTTGTGACACATTTAAACTCGCGTGGGTGTTGGAAAACCCTGTTTTTTAAGGAAAGTAAGAAACTAAGTTCACCATCATTTCCAGCGATGTTTCTCTGATGATTTAAGAGAATAAAAATGATCGTGTCTTATGCACTTGAAATGTTTCTTATTTAGTTGCATTTGTTGTATTGTATTGTACCTTGTAAATTGTATGTAGTGTTGATTGGTAATCAAACAAAACTTGAAACTCTTCCTTTGAAAACAGCAGCTTTGTAGATTTGTTACTACACACAATCTAGGATTTAACTTTATCAATGTATTCATGTATTTATGATATTTATTTTCTTATTTCGTATTAAGTTTGTGGGATGAAGGCATTTGTTTAAATGAGTTTTTAGTTAAATACAGAACAAATGTAGAAAAAAGCTTATTAGCAAATTTTAGTATCTTTTCTCAAGCCCTTTACTTTTTCATTTAAAAGTTTAACAAAACAAAAAAGCTCCTGTTGTGCCCTTAGAGGCTAAATACTGGTAATTTTGCATAATTAAAATTCCTGCACCTGAAAAACTTTTTTTTTAATTTGGGAATTACACATGAATCGTTTGTAGTACAAAGTTTGTCGTTGGGATACATTACAAACTGACAGCATCTTATTGTCTGAGCAAAATGTGTCAAGAAATAAAGCTTTCACATGACTTAATTGAACATATTCCAAATTCTAAACAGTAAACTAATTTCCGTTTTACTTTCTTTGCTTCTTAGCGAGATTCTCTGATGGCCTACCTTCTTTCTTGGATTCGGAGGCAGAGATAGAAGAGCCAGTGGGAACGTCAACTAGAGGAAACAGCTTCAGCCCTCGGAAGACACCAACATCATCACTACAGAGCGTGGCGACGCAGACTAAAAAAGAAGCCGAACTTGCCACAGAAAGATTCTTTAAACTTGAAGAAAATGCTAATAAACCAAAATAAATGCACAGTAATTCAGATGACACCTGCGCCTTTAAAGGACTGATAATAATAAAAAGCGTTTTTGTAGTGGTGGCTATGGCACACGTTAACTTTTAAGCCTGGGCATATAAACAACAACAACAACAACAGCCAGAACAACAACAACATAAACAACAGGAACAAGATAGGATGTAGCCTAACGCCAATGTGCTTTACAAATAAGCATACATTTATGCAGACAAAAGGCTTTGAATGACGAAATCATCAAGCCTTTGCTGATATTGATATTGTTACACATCGATTGCATTATCGTTATCAATCCGTTCATAGCATGTGTTGTGATGGTTTCTTATGTATCATAAGTATCTTAATATTAATATCTTAATATAATTATCAGTCAAGGTGAATATAATCATTTGAAAAGGAGCCAAGCCATTATCAGTTTACTCCTTGAATGTTCAAAGTTTGAGTTATCGAAATAATTTTAAATAATTGTCAGCCAAATTCTCCCTATACCTTCATTTTCTTATGAGCTTTATTGATTGGGATTTTGTTTTTCAGAACAATAAAAAACTTTCAAGTTTGCAACAGATATTCATCGTTTCATATGACAAAGAGATTTTTTTAAAATCTCTTTCATCACTTTGATAATAATTAATTAACAGATAAACTGTTGTATTTATCGCATATGTATTAAAACATCGTTAATCGATTTGTATGTTTGATTAAAATGTTTGCACAAAATAAAATTGTTTGAGGAATTTAACATGAATTGGCATCATCTCTAAAAAGTAACAGAAAATCTTTAACATCTCTTTCCTTCTTGTGCAATGCTATTAAAAAAGAGGTGAAGAAGGCTCGCAGAAAAGCAAATCGATGAAGAAAAGTTCAAATTCGGGAACATATCCCTGGGACTTTTTTGCAACAAAGAGATCTAGATGCTAGTCAAAATGAAAAAATACCATACAATCTCAATCAATTAAAAAACTTATAGATTGTGCTTCTACAGAGTGGCGTAAACATTCTAGAAAATGTCTCTGTTATTGTTTTTGAACTGACTATAAAGGCAATGAAATGTTGCAATGGGATATTGAAATAAAGCTATTTGAATCGAAACCCTAGGGAGCTTTAAGTCAAGTTTGCTGCTTTTTAGATATGCATTCACATCTGAATTCAACTTTTCCATTGCCATCATTGCAAATACAGTAAAGACCTTCCACCATTCATAGCTCTGGCTTTCTCACTCTAGAGAACTGGAATACATAATTGATAGAAGCTTAATTGACTCAGCGCGCTTGATCCACTTGTAACAAAAAATTAAAGATTCCGTCAAGCTTCCTTACAGAGCATCATTTACATGTATTCATTACACTGACTTTGAAATGTATTTTACTTTGCTTTCAAACGTTACATCTCATTACAATCAGTGTAAAATCATTCAGTGTTGTCTCACCGAACAGGAATCTCATTAAAAGGAAATCTGCAAAGTTTTTTATATATCTCTATAGTCGCTATACAGTAAATCCCCGCATATATGAACCTACAAAATTAAGAACCTAGAGGCTGTTCTTCCAAAATTATGCACCTTGTAATTAAGAACCTGTTTCAGTGTGATAAAATTTAATAGGTTCTTATTCCAAGGGCAAACATATAGAGTTTTGAATGGTCCTTATTTACTCCCAGATTTTTAAAGATGAGATAAAATCAAAATCGATATAAAAATTTTCAGTTGTGCATTTTCAGCATTTTATACACTTTAACGAAAGAGAACTTTAAAATCACTTTGACTTTTAAAATAATTATATATAGCAAAATCCAAAATGTTGAAAATGAAATAAAAGCATTAGAATTTCCAATTCCTGAGGACATATGAGATCATCTCCAGATCCATCCACTGTCATAAGGCAGCCAGTGCACTCAAATGTCTTCCTGTAAATATCTTTGTAATGTTGCATTAATAACATTGCCAAAAGGAAACAAACAGGGTTGAATGCATCTCTTGATGATAAATCATAGAATTTTAAATATGGGATCTTTCGAATAAAATTAATCCAAGTACCTTCCCAATAAGAAACTACTTCAGCCTGAACCTCAAAAAAGTAGGTTCTTATATGCGGGGATTTACTGCATACTTTCTCGAAAAAAAATCAGAGATACTTCCTGATGCAAAAGAACTGTGATATTCCGTACAGGAGATGTTAATTTATCTCACGGTAACGCTTAGTTCTTCCAATTTGGCTTTGAAAGTTCGAAAAGTGCGCTATATTCCACAAATTTTTCTATCCAACCATTTAATGGTGCCGGTGCAATGTGCGTTTTAGTACCCTATGCAAAATCGTAACATTGTGAAACGCAACGTGTTTCAGATCGTGTAATTTCATCATTGTGTGATGTTTTGATACGTTTTAAAGAGTTTCATATTTCACACTTGTCAATCGCGCAAAGTTTGGAGTCGCCATTAATGTTGTACATCTTTTGCATAAACTTAACAACGGAAATCACAGCACCACTTCTTATTTGCACCTTTTTTAGAATAATAGCTCAATTGTTCTTTACATTCTGAACAATATGACCCAGAACATTTGTGTACCCGGACAGGTTCGGATGCTAAGTTCCACCGTTCGTTTTGGTACCCTATTGTTTAAGTGCTTAGGTACGTTTTTTGCATAAGCAAAATTGTCATCCGTCTGCGTACCCGGACCGAAATGCATAAGGTTACCGAAACGCATATGACACCGGAACTTTCTGCTAGCTATGAAGAAAAAGCCAAATAGAGAGAAAGAAAATTCGACAAGGTAGTAATCTGATACACTGTTGCTTCTAAGAGTTGAAAAAGGAATAAAGGCGATCAGTAAAATAGAATACTTTTCGAGGAATTAGTTAAAGGTGAACAATACCTCCTTATCTAGCCACAAACAGACTGCGTCATTGATTTCAAGAGCACAACTTGCTACCTCAACTTCTAACAAAATTACTTAGGGAAAGCAACTTGGGAATTGCCAAAATTGTGAAGACAGTTTGCTGCATCATAAAAGAGAAAGGAAATCGTTCTTGATGCCTGTTTTGGTCGATATTGACCGACCTATAAATAAAACATAACGCTTTTCTCGATTACCAAACATGTAGACATGAGGCCTGGTCTTTTATATTAGCATATATTAAGGTATTTATCGAATTAATCTTGTTCAACGGCCTGGAAATGCTTCGCTCAAGATGCATAAATTGGGTATGTGTTTTGAACATTAAAGGAAGGTTCCTGTTCCTTGAACCTTTCCAATGCAAAACGAGAGCAGTTCTGTTTATGTTCACAATGAAACATGGAATGATCAATGAGGTGCAATGAGATAAATAGGCCGCTAAGGAGGCTGCTAAGGAGGCCGCCTAAGCAGATGTTTTCAAATTCTAATTCATCTGCTCCTTCATCTGCTATCTTCTTATGACTATGAAATCTCACTGTTAGCCGGAAAAGAGTGTAAGGTAGTTTTCGTGGAACTGAAAGACAGTTGGTGTACATATTAATTGCATTGTGCGAATTTACTATGCAAAGCTAGTGCACTGTGTAGACTGAGAAACTAAATTACTGAATGACTTTCCTTGTTGAGTCAATGATTAACTAATAGGGCAATCGAGGAATGGTGAATTATGAAAGATCCTAATCACTTAGACACGAGCTAGTGGTTTCTGTCATTCCACCAACGGAAATTTTTGGATCGCATTGGAATTAGAAGGGGTCGCTTTGAACAACCAACAATTAAAAAATAAACAGCAAAAATTAGATTACAAAATGTTTGAGTTCTAGTTTGTTGAGGTAATTAAAATGATTTGCAAATGGAATTGAACTAAAATAGCACTCAATCAGATGATACATGGGAGTATAGGTGAAGGGATTATTATTTGAGGAATTCATCCAACGGAAACTTAAACAGCCTGTCTAATAAAACCGAAAATCACTAGGTAGGGCACGTAAATAAAATCAAACTTCGTAAGATTCATACACAGAAAAACCGATACACAATAATGTCAGGTGAATTGAATGACAGATGAATAGATGTGATATAGATATAGGGTAGTGCTTATGACAAATCATGATGTCTTTAAATCATCTAATATTCTTCCTCGTCTTCTTCTCCTTCTTCACCAGTTGTATCAACACCAACTTCCTCGTAATCCTTCTCAAGAGCTGCCAAATCTTCTCTTGCTTCAGAGAATTCACCTTCTTCCATACCTTCTCCTACATACCAATGCACAAAGGCACGCTTGGCATACATCAGATCAAACTTGTGATCAAGCCTTGCCCATGCCTCAGCAATTGCAGTTGTGTTGCTCAACATACACACAGCTCTTTGTACCTTGGCCAAATCGCCTCCTGGCACAACAGTTGGTGGCTGATAGTTGATGCCAACCTTGAAGCCAGTTGGGCACCAGTCCACAAACTGGATGGTCCTCTTTGTTTTGATTGTTGCAATGGCTGCATTCACATCCTTTGGCACAACATCACCACGGTACAGCAAGCAACATGCCATGTATTTGCCATGACGTGGGTCACATTTCACCATCTGATTGGCTGGCTCAAAGCAGGCATTGGTGATTTCAGAAACAGTCAACTGCTCGTGGTATGCCTTCTCAGCAGAGATCACAGGAGCATAGGTGGCCAATGGGAAGTGGATACGTGGGTATGGCACCAAGTTGGTCTGGAACTCAGTCAAGTCAACATTCAATGCACCATCAAATCTTAGAGATGCAGTGATGGAAGACACAATCTGGCCAATCAACCTGTTCAAGTTGGTGTAAGTTGGTCTCTCAATATCAAGGTTTCTTCTGCAGATGTCATAGATGGCCTCGTTGTCTACCATGAAAGCACAGTCTGAGTGCTCCAAGGTAGTGTGAGTGGTCAGGATGGAGTTGTATGGCTCAACAACAGCTGTTGAAATCTGGGGTGCTGGATAGATGGCAAACTCCAGCTTTGACTTTTTGCCATAATCAACTGAGAGACGTTCCATGAGAAGGGAAGAAAATCCAGAGCCAGTACCACCACCAAAGGAGTGGAAGATCAGAAATCCTTGAAGACCAGTACACTGATCTGCCAATTTTCTGATTCTGTCCAGGACAAGGTCGATGAGTTCCTTTCCAACGGTGTAGTGTCCACGAGCGTAGTTGTTGGCTGCGTCCTCCTTTCCAGTGATGAGTTGTTCTGGGTGGAACAGCTGTCTGTATGTGCCAGTTCTGACTTCATCTGAAAGGAAAGCAAGTAGGAAATAAGTTTTAGAGACCAAGTAGCTTAGTAAAAATAAGTAAAATCCAGTCAAAAATCGATGAAATGAGATTTGATTCATGAGAAGTCGAATCCTTTGCTGAAGTAGATAGAACAGGCAGCACCTACCTACAACAGTGGGCTCGAGATCGACAAAGACAGCCCTGGGTACGTGTTTTCCAGCACCAGTTTCGCTGAAAAAAGTGTTGAAGGAATCATCACCACCTCCAATGGTCTTGTCACTTGGCATCTGTCCATCAGGCTGGATACCGTGTTCCAAGCAGTACAATTCCCAGCATGCATTACCAATCTGTACACCGGCTTGACCAACGTGGATAGAAATACATTCACGCTGCAAAAATAAATCTTGTTGTTTATTAATATAGTTGACGCTGTAGAACAAAAGCAACTGAAAGGTTATAAAGTAATGATGAACAAGCAAACCTTTCGTTTTCACTTAAGACCTAAGGATATTGATATTTGCATGAAATAAAAAAGAAAGATTAGTAAACCCTATTGACACGAGGTTTGCTTTTATTGGTATTTTAGAAAGAGGTAGTGGAGGGGTAATTTTGAGGGAGAGATAAGTGATTCGGAGATTTACTTGAATAAAAATAAGCATAGAGGGGAGCAATTTTTGTCATTGGTTAGACAGCAAATCGGATAGCTTAGTCACCTTATGATTGAAAGATACGACAAATTAAGAAAGTTTCTCCTTCATTGGTTGGAAAATCAATTCATTCTGTAAATTATGGTCATAACGGGCTGTAAGCATAAACGTATCAATTTCTTTATAAAAGGGCCAGTGCTGGTGTTAATGGGAAATCCTCAAAGCAGAGTAGTGTATAGAATATTTTTCCTGCGTGTTGGTAACAGGCTTCTTTAAAAGGAAGATTCTAACCTGATTTATTGTGAACGAAATGTTTCGTCATTCGGTTTTATTTTGCTGAATAAACAATTTAAAGATATATCACGTGACAGTTAAAAGATTTAATAGCAGATGTCCAGCGGGTGGACATTCAATAAAGGCTCATAATTCATAGAATCGGTTTGTTGTTGAATGCTGCCATGGAGAGGATTTTCTGTGGCGAGGTTAAGAGCCTTTCTTCTTCAATTCTATTTTTAAAAAACATAATTGCACAAATGAAAAGGCAATTTTCAAGGGATAGAGCTTTTGAAATGTAGTTGAATGCAAAGCAAAAATAAAGTTGCGTCGAATGAAGTCATCTCCTAAATTTCATATTGAAAATGTTTTTCTCAAAGTATCGAACCGTTATTAATCGATGGTAAGAGCTCACACAACAGTCTTCTGAAGCATCTAAAATATTTTACTGCTACAGCAGATACTAGTTGCTCATCTACAGCAGAAAAAGAGTTGAAGAAATTATATACACTTATGAAGGTCCAATATGATGGACAAAACGAAACAGAAAGAAAAAGGTGTTCCACGAGAAACTTACAATGAAATACCCCAATGACAAAAACCAAGCCGGTTGAATGGTTGGATGGCAAGATGCGGGATTAAGGCCAACCGGCTTTGTACAAGATAAAGCTGTCATTATCGCAAAGTGCTTTGTTATCATAAGCTACAAACGCAATAATATCGCGAGAAGACTATTATATAGTATGAGAACTATATAATAGCATACGTAATACAGTAAAATAGAGTTAAGAGTTCTTACCATATTGTTTTGTTGTCTTCTTTTTGAATGTTCAAAGAAACTTTACAGAAAACTTCCGAGCGACGTGTTACGGGTCGAAGAGCGAAAGAAATGCTTGTGTTAAGCAGGTCTCACATTTGCTAACGTGTTGTTGTCGACAGGTTACTAAGGCAATGAAAAGACAAAAACATTTTTATACACACGGGCATCTGATTGGTGCACAAGCGTTTGCCTGTTGTTCGTTAGTCTTATGCCGCCATTAGACTCTGCTTCGCTATTGCCTCACTTTACGGACGCTAAAGCAGATAGAGCGTCTATCAATTCAGTCAAGTGCAACAAAATCAGCTAGTTTAGTCACCGTGCTACAATGCAACTTGTGTTTCGGAATGTTCAAATATTTTTACGCGACTTTTTCTTGTTGTTTTAGTTTAGCCACAACACCATTCAATTCAATACGGTTTCAATCGCCAAAAAGATGCAACAAAAGAGATGCGTCAAGGTCATTTGATTTAGCCAAGTACTTAGCGTTATGAAATATATAAATCAACAAGTATGCATAGAATCTTCCTTATTTAAAGTTTGGCTTTAGTCTAGCTATGACAGTTAAGGCCAACCAACATTTGAATACATGTTAAAACCAAAATGGGCTTGCAAGAATATCAATCAGCCTGAAATAACAAAAACCTTACATTCTCAACATATCTCTCAAATAATCTACAGTTGCAAGGAAAAAATGTGGCCTTTGATACTTCTTTTAAAACCATTCAAAATCAGACACCCTGCATGGCTTATCTTAGGCCCTAAAACACACATTTTCAACAGCATACCCTGTCGTGTTTTGCTTTGGTTTTGTATCTTTTTTGAAACTATCCAAAGTCAGAGATCCTGTAGCTCAGAACAGCATCGCATGCCATATCTTAGGCCCTAAAACACACATTTCCAACACCATACCCTGTCGTGTTTTGCTTGTATCTTTTTTGAAACTATCCAAAGTCAGAGATCCTGTTGCAGAGAACAGCATCGCATGCCATATCTTAGGCCCTAAAACATACATTATCAACACCATACCCTGTCGTGTTTTGCTTGTATCTTTTTTGAAACTATCCAAAGTCAGAGATCCTGTAGCTCAGAACAGCATCGCATGCCATATCTTAGGCCCTAAAACACACATTTTCAACACCATACCCTGTCGTGTTTTGCTTGTATCTTTTTTGAAACTATCCAAA